CTTCCCAGATTTCTTCACTTGCAAATGAGTTCAAAGAAGCAGAAGATCTTTCGAAAATTTAATTAAAGATCTTAGGTTTCCTTATTTCACGAGTTATTTCACATTCTTAATTACATTACACTGTATGTGAAAATCTCATGGCGGATTTGAGAATGTAACTTTTGGAGAAGCTAGGGTTACGTTCTTCAACAATTCTTTTGGTAGATTCTTCAACTTTTTTCACTTTATGTGATCCTCTTCCATTTCTTTGTTTGTTACTCTAGTAATAATTTGCTTGATGACATAAATATGAAAGAGATAATATTGTATTCATGATAATGAAAGACAATCCGATCACTATATGGTTTAAAAAAGTTACTCCCTCTGTCTCAAAATTATTGTGCAGTTTGTGATTTCACTTCTAACACAATTTGAATTAGAAATGAAAATGATAAACTGATAAAAAGAGTTGAACGTAGACTCATTCTGTATTTACCAAAGCCAATTCGGCTATATATACAAATACATGAGAAAACCCTAAGTGTTAGGGTAACTGGACAATAATTATGAGACGGAGGGAGTACAAAATTTATTTCATTCGTTTCAAAATTAGAGTTATGTTACTACGGAGGACAGAGCAGTAGTACTTGTTGAGATTGTGATCATCTGTAAAACAACGTTCGACTCGACAGCTATTATGTGTGTCCCTTCCAGAAGACAAAGAAAAGGAAAAAAGAAAACCAATATAATTAGTAAAAGACTAGGCGACTCTTCAGGTTTTCCATTCGCTAATGTGTCTTCTTTTAGTGGATTCATGCTACGGGACTAGAAATCTTATTACAAGGTAATCACAATGATGATTATGATTGAAAAAAGAAAGGCCTTCGAAAGAGGATACTCATGTAATCGTTTGTCCTAATTCATCGTTATTGTTTGGAGAGATTCGTAGTCCCAAAAAATCTAATTAATCGATCCAAACTAAGGTTATTCGTAATTTTGGAGAACGTCATTTTTTCAATAAAACTTAGACATGATCATTACCCTGTACAGAATATTGCTTTTGCTCATCATCACTATGATAGATCTAGAACAGTACTATAACTACTCAGCAATTTTCCACATGATTCCTATGTGTTGTACAAGCGGAACAAAAAAATAAAAACATATAACATCAACGAAAATTTTGCAACACTTCATAAAAGTACATAATATGTAATAGGCTTAGAATTGACATAATCAAGCACTCCCGGACTGCCGGCTATGTCCCAAAATACTTGTCTAGAAGTGAAATATCAAACTAGACAACCATTTCAAAACAAAAAACTATAAATAAAATTATAAATAAAATCACTAATCAAGTTATATATATATATATATATATATATATATTCTCCGTAGATGACTCTCAAAATTTAAGCATATGCTTACATATTCCCTCCATCTGCCCCAACAAAGTTCTAAGCAAACACAATAATTCTCATTTAAGTCGACATAAATTTTATTCTAACAAATAAATTTAATTAATAACTGTCTATCGCAATTAATGTTTGAAAACTTAGATTATAGTTAACTTGATTAAGTATTACCTCACCACCTCATGAACTAAGCGATTGTTGGCTTATCATCACCTTGCTCATAGTTTTTCTCATTTAACAAAATAATCTATTTTGTGGGATGAGACGAGTAATTTTTAAGATACTAATATGTTATTCAAAATATTTCATTTTTATACTGCATCTCCCAACGAAACATATCAAATACTGTTACTACAATTGTTCCATTTGCTCGTTTCCAAGCCCATGTATACCAAACCCTAGCTACCTAAAATTTAATACTCTGCAAGATGGGGACTGTTAACAAAAATTGACTAAAGAGTACACATTGAAGATTAGGCACCAAACTGATGAGAATCGTGGGAAAGCATGTGGGTGAGTTTCTTGTGGAGTCTGTACGTGTTGGATATTAGTCAAAGACATCGACATATAATTTGCTACCGAAATAAAACAAGGTCAACATGCAGACAAACAGCCGTACGTCCCAAGTTTGAATATTTTTTCGTAAAACGAAAACAGCAACAACTATATTGGTCACGCGACTCGGACCAACATGTTCTGTCACAGTGCAAACTTGCCGAACCCTCTTTCCTTTGTCTATTATATATCTGATTTTCGAAATCACTGTCTAAATTAATTTTTATTTAAATCCTCTCGCTTTTAATTAGTTGCTTTTCACATATACAAAATTTCAATCATTGATTTTATGTTGAATTTTAATTATTTGCTAAACATGTGAAAAGAATTTTTAGAAATTCTTGTAAGAACATAAGTGCAAATGGAATGGCTGTTTTTCTTTTTTTTTCTTTTGTTCAATAGCTATATATTGTAAATTTGTAATCATGAAATAATCTATTTTGTTCGACTAAGAGAGAATCAGCAAAACGAATTGTCTTTTCGGGACAAGTATAAGAAAAGGAGAAGTCACTTGGAAAAGGAGTTTTCAAGGAATTGTGGCGGAATATGATATGAACAACCCCATGTATGTTTTATGTTTATCACTATGAATTTAACTTGGAGTTGAGATTGACAGATGGTGGGAAGAAAGGGGTCCAAGTTTCCAACTACTCCAATATTGTTGCCTTGCCTAACGAGATAAACGTATCAAGAATAGTCATGTTTATTCAACAAAATAAACTATTAAAACAGAACGAAAGAATAACCGGTTTTTCACATACAATATAATTTTTTTCTTCTTGAAATAACGTCTCGGCATCGTGTGAATGTTAGGATTTGATGTGAAGAACATGGGAGTCATTCAAGATCTCACTTATATGAACTGCCATCCCTCTTCGATCAGGATGACATTGATTGACACCAACAAAATACAAACAATTGTTCCACCACAAAACCAAGTTTCAAAGCTAGAGGTGATTTAATCTTTACCGGCCCGCCATAGAAAATGATCATGATCATCGACACAAAATGCAGAAGCATAAATATTATAGGATAGTGTAGGATAGGAAATTAGGATGATAGGACCACAACCAACAAACCCTTTTCAAATGCATGAACTCAATCAACAAAAAAACGAGTAGGGGCCGCATCCAATGGTTAGCTCTCCTCACAGAAACTAAAATCTCCATCATATGCAGGATATATGGCAGTCCTAGTTTATATGTAGCTGCAAAATCCACCAGCTCACTTGAAAAGGACTAACCACCAACAATTAATGGTGGGGGTTTAAGTGTTAAGGAACTTGTTTTTCTTTCTCTCAAACCGGGTATCACGATCGAGCGTTTTCATTGAAAACTTAGGTCAAAAGATTTTTCGGAGTCACCTTCGTATCACACTTTATACGTTGTTAGATACTTGGCATTTATGTGTTCAATCACTATGGCATTAATTAGAGTTCGCTTTTTATGGTGTTTAGTATTTATTGTAAAGATACATGTTGAGTATTTGACTAGTCTTACAAGACGTGTGCACAAAAGATTCAATCCATTAGGAGCAACTATTTTGATAATAGCTGTAGTAATAAATCAAACATAAGTATGCGAGACTTTTTAATGTTAAAACATTCATGCGAATCAACACACCACTAGCTACTAAAGACCCTGTTCCAAACTTCCAAATCCATCGTGGAAATTCTATCATTGTAAAAGTTAGCTATATACTCTCCCTGTCCCGAAACTACTGTTTATTTTTGGATTTTAAATCTTAATATTAAATGAACTAAAAGTGAAAATCCAAACTAGACAATAGTTTTGGGACAAGGAGTATATAAAACTTCTTCTCGTTCTTATTATAAAGTATTTTGATTTATTCTAAATTTCATTTATCACATTCTTCAAATTGAAAATAAAACCTTTAACATATTTTATAATAGCTCGGAGAACACAAAAAAAAAATGAAAATACATTTTTAAGGTTTTATTTTCAATTAGAATAACATATTAAATGAAATTTAGAACAAATCAAAATGCTTTATAATAAGAACAAGAGGTAGTATAATTCATTGAATCTCAAGCAACAATACAAGAGTCTCGCTGAGTGTAGGTATCTGATCATTAGTCCAGCAATAACAACAATAACTGGGGAAAAAATAAGGTTAAATTGATCACTTTGTGTCCGGTGACCGGAAAAAATAAAAATGAGGAACTTATGAACAAAGGAAATTTACTTGGATCACTAGTGCGTAACTACGTATATCAGATGATGTAGGACTGTTGGTAGTGGTACATGCACACAAAATAGAGAATCACTCCCAACCAGAAATGAAGTCATGAAGCTACCAAACGTGTGCAATAAGTGATTTGTTCTTTATGTGTCCCATGATCTATATATTTTATACCTTTTTTGTTCAATTTGGGAGAAATATTCCTCAACAACGTTCCAAAAACAATATTACTATTATTATTTCAATAATTATGCTTCTTGCTTCCTCATGAAAATTGATAAGAATATCATAGAGATACCCTCTTTTTCATTTTTCTTTTTTTTTTGTGAAATTGATTGAGTTGCGCCGATGAAAAAAGAAAATTAAATTCTTTATTCAGACTAAAATTATGATATGGTTGATACACAATGAATGAAAGGAAGAGGGAATCATATCTCTCATTCTCTCTTTCTGAGGCAAACTTTTTGTAGCCAAAAAGAGAAACCAAAGGAAATCCTAAAAAACACCCCCATTGCAAAAAATAATGCATTAGTCCTAACTCCTAATTATGGCTTGTCTGACTTAAATGCCTACTGGTAAAAAAGAAAAAGAAAAAAAAAAAAAGCCTTCCATCTCTGCTCTTCTTTTTCTTCCTCTATATATATAAATCTTCATCAAACCTCACTTTGGCAATTCTCCACATTCCTCCTCAATCTTTATACTTTGAAGATAAAAAAATAAAAAAATAAAAACAACAAATATTCTAGAAATCACAGAAGAAAGTTCCTCAACTTCCCTTATATTTTCCTCCAAATTTACTTCCAAATCCAATAAAAGATCAAACAAAAAGAAGGCCAGCTGAGAGAGATCATGAAGAGCTTGTTTTTTAACACCAATGGATTCCTCAAATGGAACAAAATGTTCTTCCTATCACTCATACTTGTCTTGATCAATTCCACAATGAACAAAAGTCGCCTTTCCTCCAAACAAACCTGTGCCACCCCAACTTCATCATCTCCTCATTATCTATCTTCCTCAATCACTCACTCTTCTCTAACATCCTTAAAACTCGATGGAAACATCAGTTTCGAAAACATAGAACACGCGGCGCGGGATTTCGGCCTTAGGTATCATTCCCTCCCTTTAGCCGTGGTGCATCCGAGGTCAGTTTCCGACATCTCCACAATCATCAAACTCGTTAATGGGATGGGAACTTCGTCGGAAATCACAGTCGCCGCAAAGGGTCGCGGCCACTCCCTGGCCGGCCAAGCGCAAGCCAGGGGAGGCTTGATCATAAACATGGAATCACTTCAATATTTCAAAGAGAAAATGCATTTTCGGACGGGAAAATTCCCGTTTGTCGATGTTTCCGGCGGCGAAATATGGATTAACATCCTGCATGAGAGCCTTAAACATGGGCTTACGCCGAAATCTTGGACGGATTATCTCCATCTCACGGTCGGGGGAACCTTGTCGAATGCCGGCGTCAGCGGACAAGCTTTCCGGCATGGACCACAGATTAATAATGTGTATCAACTAGAAGTTGTCACGGGTATTTTGTTTACTCTTACGTAATCCAGAATCATATCGTATCCACTTTGGTTTGATTCAGTTTTTTCGGTACTTTTTTCTATGACTCTTTTGGTACAAAGATGATATCATTCATCATATTTTTGTATTACTCAAAATCCCGAGAAACTTTTGAGTGTTTTAATTTCGACCTTTTTTTTTTTTCACCAACAATCATTATGTCTCTCTTTTCTGATTGGTGGAGTGATTTTCTTCTTTTTATTCAATATTTAATCTCTGATCATTTTTTCTTATTCTTTTGTATGTCTATTTTTTTTTTTTTTTTTGGCAGGTAAAGGAGAGGTAATTCAGTGCTCTGATGAGCAGAATTCTGACCTGTTCAGTGGAGTACTTGGTGGTTTAGGACAATTTGGTATCATCACTAGAGCAAGAATTGCCCTTGAGCCAGCTCCTAAAATGGTATAAATCTTCTCTATTCCTATTCAGAGATTTCATAACAGTAACTATTTTGATTAAAAAAAACAAATTTGTTCTGTTACCTTAAGGCCAAAACACCCTTAACATTTACTGATTTTTCCTTATTATATGAATCCGAAGAAATATTTCGGTCTCAAAATAGAAGTAGTATAATAATAAAACAAAATTAAAAAACTTGATGGCCCGCATGTTCTGACATATTATGTCTTGGTGACTGCTGACAGGTAAAATGGATAAGAGCTCTGTACTCAGATTTCTCCACATTTTCCAAGGATCAGGAGTTCCTAATCTCTTCTCCAAAAACTTTTGACTATATAGAAGGGTTTGTGATCATAAACAGAACCAACTTAGTAAGCAGCTGGAGTACATCCTTTGATCCCAAAGACCCTGTTGGAGCAAGCAAATTCAAATCTGATGGAAGGGTTTTATTCTGCTTGGAAGTTGCAAAATACTTCACTCCAGAAAACAAAAATGGCATTAGCGAGGTAGTAACGACAGGTTCCTTGCTTCCTCCCCCTAAAGAATAAGTCCGGGTTTGGTCACTAGAATCCTTCAATATAACTTCTTTATGCATTTTGCAGAATGTCGATTCGCTCTTGGCGACATTGAACTACATTCCCTCGACACTCTTCTCGTCAGAGGTGTCATATGTTAATTTCCTGGATAGAGTACATATTGCGGAAATCAAACTCCGAGAGAAGGGTTTATGGGAGGTTCCTCACCCATGGCTGAATCTTTTGGTGCCAAAGAGCAAGATCCATGAATTTGCTGCAGAAGTATTTGGGAATATACTCACAGACACCAGCAACGGTCCAATACTGATCTATCCAGTGAATAAATCCAAGTACTGTCAGTTAACCTGAACAATCAATCTCTTTACAAACGATTTTTCTCATCTTCTGGTTCTAATATCAGGTCATTCCTTGTATTCTAGGTGGAGAAAAGGAACCTCCATGGTAACCCCAGATGAAGACATCTTCTACCTGGTTGGACTGCTATCTTCAGCCAAGCCACATTCCACAGGGAAAGATGGATTGGAACACATCATAAAGCAAAATGATCGAATATTGAGACTCTGTGAAAGGAAGCAACTAGGGGTGAAACAGTATCTGCCACAATATAAGACACAAAATGAATGGAAAGTTCACTTTGGTAAACAATGGGGAGTCTACAGTAGAAGGAAATCCACCTATGACCCTTTAGCAATCCTAGCTCCTGGCCAGAGAATTTTCAAAAAAGCAGTACCCTTTCAGTGACACTGACCTCTAGTCTATAGTGGTTGGAAGTTTTGTAGTACATAATCTAGAAGCATGATTAAGGGGGGATGGATGTCTCTGCCTAGCCTTCCAAGCTATACAGGTGCTAGCTAAGAGACATTGTGCAAATCATTCCATATTTCTTCCAAGTCAAGTAGGACAGAGACGCTCAAAGTGTAAATAACCCAGCAAACTAGTACTTGTACTATACCTAGTGTCAGCTTTGGTTCCAAAGAATCCATACTAAAAGCAGAAGAGAACTTTGAAACTCTCCAACAAAAGCTTCAATTCTGTACCCATCACACAAAAACAAAATAGCAGGAGTTCCAAGGAGTTTTAAAGTGAGACATCATAATGAGCACACGAGTTTAGAAGAAACTGATCAGTTAAAGGATGCGAAAGTAACAATCATAAACGTCCGGATGAAGTTTCTGGGCAATGAAAGCATTACAACTTAAAACAGAATGCTCTGTTCAAGGTTAGATTGGCAGCAGATACAGATTTCATTACTAGAAGCCAGAGTAAAGTCTAAGAAAGTCAATACCCGAAGACACAGAAACTCCATAAGAGGTCAATGAACTACTTTTTAGAGTTAGCCCAGCCGAGGCCAGGTCTACTGATCTCCTCCTGTGGTTCTTCGTAGTCTCGGGCATCAAGTAGAGAAGCTTCAAAGTCAGTGAAATCGCTAGCAACGGGAAGGCAGCTACTTATGTCATCTCTAGCTCCAAAGCCCCCTGCTCGTACAACATCATCAGCTGATATAGAAGCCTCCATGTTAACTTCACCTTGTATTGCGTTCAAGTATGGTGGTGGTAAAAAATCTTTTTGATTTGCCCCTGCATCAGTGTCAGCTCTCATTTCTTGTGCGTCATTTCTTTTGGATCCACCATTTTCATTTGAAATGTCTATCTTTTTCAGTTCAGACTGAACACATTCAGCAATCTCAGATTTTGTGCTTTGGTTTCCCCCTTCTGTTGCAACAATATCTCATTAAGTTAAGAAGACAACACAGCACAGAATTTAATTTAATTGTGACTGTTGACTAAAATAAACAAATAAAATTTCTAAAACAGGGAGGGCATAAATAGCCTATAATATCCTTGTCTGCAAATTATGAAGAAGCTTAATGCAAAAGGAACCCATAAATGAATCATTTCAGTATTCAGAAAACGTATCCAATTACAGGTGGTACCGATATGGTGAGTTCATTGTTAGACATTTGCGACACGTGCTCGAAATTTATGAACCTCAGATTTTGATTCGACAATGTATAGTAGTTCAAAATAAGACAAACCCCCGGAACAAGATCCCAAGTTGGTCAAAAATATACTGGGTATGTAGATGTTGATGTTATTCAAAATCCGAACATGCAATTTGCTGAGGGGTTTTCTGCTACCACTCATGGCAACAAAAGAACAATATGCATACAAGTGTAAGATCACCACCATTTATTAGAAGGTGAAGATTACTCTTTTAAGGAAGAAAGCCTTATCAATGATTTGGAAACAAGAAATTGAATCGGAAGAATGATGAATCCACTGACGGAAACCTTCCTTCTTGTTGATTTAGTTCATGCTTCTATGGTTTGTCACTCTAAGAGTCACAGAGGTGAATTCACCTGTGAGGTCTTTTATTTGTCACTAAGAAAGAGCTTCAGAGGTGAATTAAGCAGTGAGTCTCCTACCTCGCAGCTTATAAACCAAATTTCATCAATTCAGAATTAGTTACTAAATTAGCTCATATTAAAAAAAACAAAAACAAAATAAGGTTTATGTACTTCAAAAAGTCCAATAGGTAACTAATATAAGTTCACCAGTTTTGATACAACAAGAGAGGAAGGACATTGTGGAAGAACATGATTCTGAAACGAAATAACCTCAGCTGAGATGAATTACCTTGCTGATATTGTTGAGGAACATGCGCCATATTTGTCTTCAACAAGCAAAGTGGTCTCTCTTCCTTTCACTTCTCACTAATCACACTAAGTATAGCAACCTACCTAGCCAGCAAAGGTTACAAAGGAGACCTTGTCAGACAATAAAATCATAAGAGTAAAACATCATAAATGGATTACAATTATCCAGAAACACTAGTATCAAAAACTAAACCAGCAAACAAAACCCATCCGTAATAGCCTGAAACTTAAAGTGCAACTTGGAACATCACATCAAACAAATTGCCATATCCATTGAAAAAAAAAATGCAATTGGTTCGTTCCACCGCTAAAGAACTATCCAAACCATCCAAACTGATGCGTCTCCAATCTCTTTCACCCCGAACATAATCCACACAACACAAACTCTTTTGCAAACATCAATAATAGCAACCCATTTCACAATTCAGGGTAAGCTGAATACAGAAGCAGCAATTCTCCAGCATAAAACGTTACAGCTCACTGGAGACTTAACTTTAACCCAACCCAATTCGATTTCAAACAGCCAAGGAAAAAAAAAAACGATTCTTTACCACTGGAATAATTCCTATTCATAGTTACCCCAAGAAAATGAAAATCACAACTCATTCATTCCTACAAAAAAATCTTGCATTCATGTGATTCTAACATGATTCAAGCGACATCATCACACAACAAAGCAGTAGAAACAAAGTAAAAAAGGATCACAACATTACATACCTCACAGAAGATAGTAGAAGCATTACTTTGCAGCCACCATTCTCATCAATCCAGTAAAAAAAAAATAGTGGTTTTGATGTCTAGTAAATTCTGAAGTTTTTTTTTTCTTTTTTTGAAAAATGTAAATTCTGAAGATCTCAGCAGTTGTGATAATTACGTGTTGAAGAATTGCAGGTGACACGTTTCTTGCGGACATTGCCACGCTGCCTTTTTTTTTTTTAATTCCAGAACTATGTTTTCCTTTTTCCCCTTAATTCATTTTCTTCTCCTTCTGAATCGTTTCTGGGCTTCTACGGATATGGACATTGATGTTGACCTATTGGCCCAGTTTAGACTACTAACCCAAAGTCCAAGAATGAGTGGAACAAATTTTATGTTGTTTCCCCCCAGTTCCTAGAGCCGTTTACATTTTTATTATTATTTTAAACTACTTTCTGAGGTAGTTCGAGGTGGATAATTGATAGTTGAAAAATACAAACATGCCTTAAAATGATACTATAATGCTATCCAAACATGTATTTTGAAATTTAGGGAGAAAGAAAAACAAAAAAACATGATTTAAGTTGACAATCTAAAAAGAGCAACAATCACTACAGTTACATATATTTTAGGAAATCTTTTTAATTAGTTTGTTTGATTAAGTAAGACAGGACGTATTTAAATAGGAACTCTTTCAAAATTTATTATATTATTACTTTATTAATTGTGTTCTTTTTTCTTTTTTTTTTTTTATGTCCGGCTGAAACTAAGACCGAAATATATACTTTAGATATTTGCAATGTGATTTGTTGCATATTTTTGTTACGATATATGTATGTCTTTGTATAGGGTTATTTCCGTCGTTTGTGTGTACTAGGGTTTCCACCGTAAACCCTAAATGATGTGTATATATAGTTCCTCTGTGAGCTAATCAATACAGTATCATGTTTTATGTCGGCCGTTTAGTTTGTGTCATGGTATCAGGCTTTCTACCCTCAGCCGCCGGTTTCCGATCGTTCTTTTTCTTCTTTTTCCGGCCTTGTGTTTGTCGGCCCCCCAAAACAAACAAGAAAACAAAAAAAACAAAAAAAAACGAAAAAAAAAACCCTTGCTATCTTTGCCTCATGGCGCATGGTGATGAAGAATCTAGTACTCCAACTCCAACTCTTCTTTCCGCTGGTACTGCTGCTCCGCCGCCGGTTCAAGATGTTCCCAAACGTCGTACGATTACTCCGTACGACCTTACTGCCGGCGATAATCCAGGAATGCCGATCACTCAGGTGATGTTGAAGAATGATAATTATGATGAATGATGCTGTGCTGTTTGTACTGCCTTGCGAGCGCGTAAGAAATTTGGTTTCGTTGATGGCACGCTTCCTCAACCGCCGGCGACGTCACCCGATCTTGAAGATTGGTGGACAAACCAATCCTTGGTTGTTTCCTGGCTACGTAATTTCATCGAGCCATCGGTCCGTCCACCGTTCCTCATCGCGAAGTTGCTTCGGTTCGATGGACGGATCTGCGTGAACGCTTCAGCGTTGTGAATGGTCCCCGGATTCAGCAGCTCAAGACCGATCTAGCGAATTGTAAGCAGAAGGGTTTGAGCATGTCGGCTTATTACGGTCGGCTTCAGTTGCTGTGGGAGGAGTTAGCCAACTACGAACCACTGCAGTCATGTTCTTGTGGTTCTCCCGACGTCCTTGCAGAATCGGAATGGCGCCGGGAATCTGAGAAGCTGCATCAATTATTCATGGGACTGGATGCCTCCCTGTATGGCACGCTTCGGTCGAGTTTGCTCTCTCAAGACCCGCTGCCCACTGTCAACCGTGCTTATTCGTTGCTTGTCCAGGAAGAGCGGCTGCGGCCAATCTCAAATGGGACTGATGAAGTTGCAGCCGATGCTCTGAGTTTCGTGGTTCAAGCTCCACGGTCTGCCCAGCTTCCCAATCTACCGTCCAGCGGGTCTACTTCTCGGTCTCGGTCTGACTCCAAGCCGATTGAGCCGAAAGCCAAGTCGCTAATTTGCACTCACTACTCCAAACCGAGTCATGACATCTCCAGTTGTTTTGATCTTATCGGATATCCCGATTGGTGGCCTAACTCTCACCGGGATTCAGGTGGTTCGCCTAGCCGTGGCTCTGTTGGCCATGGTAGTAGTTCCTCCCATCGTGGGCATGGTGCTGGTTCGGGTAGCTCTGTTGGTCGAGCTAATGCTACTATTGTACCCAGTTCACAGTTTGCTGGCTCTGTGGTGACTGATTCGGGTAAAAGTACGGTTACTGGTCTTTCTCCGGATCAATGGCAGACTTTAATCTCCATGCTTGATACTCATCACAAGTCGAGTGATACACTTTATGGTAAGCATTATTCTAACGAATGGATGTTTGATTGTGGGGCTTCACATCACATGATGGGTTTTTTGGCTTTCTTGACGGATTTGAGGGCTATCTCTCCTCGTCCAGTTCAGTTACCTGATGGTTCTATGACTTATGCATCGCAGTTGGGTGTTGTTCATTTGAGCAATTCTGTAACATTGCACAATGTTCTTTATGTTCCGGCTTTGAAGTGCAGTTTGATTTCTCTATATCATTTATTAGAGGATTCTCATTCTGTTGCTCAGTTTACTAATAAATTTTTGTTGTTCAGGACCGTACATCGAGGACTCTGATTGGCACGGGTGAACAGTTGGGGGGTCTCTACTTCTTTCGTGGCTTGTCTCCTGCTCGGACTTCTCATGTTGTTTCCCCGATTTTATGGCATCAGTGATTAGGGCACCCTTCTGTGAAGGTTTTAAAGCAGTTGTCTCTTTTTTATTCTAGTAATCATGTTTTGAATAAATCTTGTGACATTTTTTTCCGAGCTAAACAATCTCGTGAATCTTTCCCCATTAGTACTTCTAAAATGTTGAACTTTTCTCTTTAATTCATTGTGATTTGTGGGGACCTTATCCTACTCCTGCTTTTAGTGGTACTCGTTGGTTATATCTTCTTGATGATAAGAAATCTGCGCCTACTAAGTTATGTGAGTTCTTTGTCATGATTCACAATCAATTTAGGAAATCTGTCAAAATTGTTCGTAGTGATAATGGTTCCGAGTTCTTGTGTCTGGGTTCCTATTTTCGTCAAAAAGGAATTTTGCATGAAACTTCCTGTGTTGGTACCCCTCAACAAAACGGTCGTGTCGAACGTAAACACCAACACATTCTTAATGTCGCTCGTGCCTTACTTTTTCAAGCTAATCTTCCTATTCCTTTTTGGGGTAATTGTGTCTTGACTGCTGCCTACTTAATTAATCGCACTCCCTCTTCTGTTTTACATGGGAAGACTCCTTTTGAAATTCTGTATGGTAAACCTCCTTCTCTTTCACGACTTGCGTGTTTTCGGGTGCCTTTGTTATATGCATAATCTTTCTTGTGGGGGTGATAAATTTGCTCCCCGTGGTCGCAAGTGTGTTTTTGTGGGTTATCCATTTGGTAAAAAGGCCTGGTTGGTTTATGATCTTGAATTATGTAAGTTTTCTGTTTCTCGGGATGTTGTCTTTTGTGAGACTGGATTTCCTTTGGCCAGTTCTTCTTCTGTTTTATCAGACTCTCCTTCTCCTCCGATCCCTAGTTTTTCTCATGTTTTTTATGACGATGATTTACCTCCTTCCGAACCGGTTTCTGTTGTTCTCCCAGTTTCTTCCTCTTTACCTGCGTCACCTCCCCTTTCAACTCCAGCTTCTCCTATCTCGTCCCCTTCCTCTGGGGGGTCACCCACCTTGTCTTCCACATCCGAGTCTCCTTCTGCGTCTCCTGAACTATTGGGTCATGGTCATCGTACTAAATTTCCTTCTACTCGTCTTCATGGTTTCGCTCGCCATCTTATCTCTCCCTCCGCTACTAGTTCACCTGCTCAGTCCTCAGGTACTCCTTATCCTATAACATATTTTGTAAACTGTGATTCTTTTTCACCCCAGCATCAAACTTTCTTGGTAGCCATTACTACAGGTGTTGAGCCTCGGTCCTTTCGTGAGGCCATGCAGGATGCCAAATGGCGTTCTGCCATGCGTGATGAGATACGTGCTTTGGAGAAAAATCGCACCTGGGAAGTTACTTCCCTTCCTCCTGGCAAGCGCGCCATTGGTTGTAAGTGGGTGTTTAAGATAAAATATAATGCTGACGGTTCTGTTGAGCACTATAAGGCTCATCTGCGTTATCCTTGGTAATAATCAGGTTGAAGGCATTGACTACCAGGAGACTTTTGCGCCTGTTACCAAAATGGTCACTGTTCGTACCTTTCTGGCTGTTGCTGCCGCCAAAAAATGGAAACTTCACCAAATGGATGTCCATAATGCCTTTCTTCATGGTGATCTACATGATAAGGTTTATGTGAAATTCCTCCTGGTTTTCACACCGGCACTTCTGGTCAGGTGTGTTGGCTTCGTCGGTCTCTATATGGTCTTAAACATGCCCCTCGTTGCTGGTTTGCTAAGCTTGCCCAGGTTTTAAAACAATATGGTTTTGTGCAATCTTCCGCTTACTCTTTGTTTACCCTTCATCGTGGTTGTATTTCTCTTAGTCCGTTGGTATATGTTGATGATCTTATTTTGGCTGGTAATGATCATGTTGCTATTACTGCTTTCAAACAGTATTTGAGTCATTGTTTTCACATGAAGGATCTTGGCCCTCTTAAGTGCTTCTTGGGTATTGAAGTTTCCCGTAATTCGTCTGGCATATGTTTATGTCAACGAAAATATGCTTTGGATATTCTCTCGGAAGTTGGTCTTTTGGGTGCGAAACCTGTTACTTTTCCCATGGACCAGAATCATCATCTTCCTCTGGCTGAGGGTTCTCCACTCTCTGATCCTGAGCCGTATCGTCGTCTGGTTGGTCGGTTGATCTATCTTGCTGTCACTCGTCCTGATATCTCTTACTCGGTTCATATGTTGGCTCAATTCCTACAAGCTCCACAGCAGGCTCACTGGGAGGCTGCTCTCCGGGTTGTTCGTTATTTGAAGCAGCATCCATGTCAGGGTATTTTGCTTCGTGCAGATTGTGACCTCCAGCTCTATGGTTGGTGTGATTCTGATTGGGCTAGTTGTCCTCTGTCTCGGCGTTCTCTCACTGGCTGGTTTATTACTCTTGGTGCTTCTCCTATTTCTTGGCGAACTAAGAAGCAGCAAGTTGTCTCCCGTTCGTCTGCTGAGGCTGAATATCGTGCTATGGCTAATACTGTCTGTGAGTTGAAGTGGTTGAAGGCTTTGTTACTAAGTTTGGGTGTTCGACATCCTCAGTCTATGCGCCTTCATTGTGATAGTCAGTCTGCGCTTCATCTTGTTGCTAATCCGATTTTTCATGAACGTACTTAGCACATCGAGGTTGATTGTCATTTTTTGCGTGATGCGTTTATTCAGGGGGTCATTTCACCTATTTATGTTCCCACCGCATCACAGCTCGCTGATACTTTCACTAAAAAGCTTTGGGTCAATGGCAGTTTTCTTTTTTTTTTTGTCCAAGTTGGGCATTCGAAACCCGCATGCTCCACCTTAAGGAGGGGGAGGGGGGATGTTACGATATATGTATATATATGTCTTTGTATAGGGTTATTTCCGTCGTTTGTATGTACTAGGGTTTCCACCGTAAACCCTAAATGATGTGTATATATAGTTTCTCTGTGAACCAATTAATACAGTATCATGTTTTATGTCGGCCATTTAGTTTGTGTCAATTTTTGCTATATGGGACCTCAAACCGTGTACCAAAACAACTGATTGGAGCAGCAAAATGCTTATGCTATAGTAGCGCCTCTAATCTACTGCGCTACTGTTGCAGCAGCAAAGCGCAACGTCCTCCCCCTTTTTTTTCTTTTCTTTTTTCTTAATTTTAAATTAATTTTAAACCCTAATCAAACTTGTTTTATTGTTGATGTACGTAAAGTTGTATCAAATTTGATGAATAATTTTAATTTAATTCAATTTTATTATTCAAGAGCTCCATATTATTATTCAGTTATTTGGAGTAAAAAATAAATGATGTGATATTGGAATAAAAATAAAATGCTTAATTAATAAACATGAATAAACTACGGAAAAGAAAATATTAAAGAGAATATATTAGGAATGTTCCATTTTGATGTAAAAATTAGTATTTTGGTTTGGAGAAGACAACACAATAACAAGTAGCAAAATATCAAATCTGATTCTATGGTGTGCATCAAATAGATGCAACACTACAGTTGCTCTAATGTTGAGTTTTTTAGTTTATAAAATATAATTTAAATAGTTTTTAAACTGTATGTTTTTTTTAAGAATTACATTTAATAAAGTTAGAAGAAGGTTTTATAAATAATTTACTTAGGATTTTTTTTTAATTTTTATTTATTTATTTATTTATTTTTTGTATTTTTCTCCTTTGGTTTACTGGTCGATTTGTTCTGGACTCTGGAGGTAACGATCATCTTCTGCCTTAAACCTCATTTTCCAAGTTCAAACCTTTCTTCTTCCAAATCAAACCGAACCCGCTTCAATCCTAAAACCTCAAAACCCTTTTGGCATTTTTTTGTCCGAACCCTAATATTCACCGCCACCGCCGATGTCTCCGGCAGCCGCAGATTTTTCACACCCAATTTCATCATCATCATCTTCAAGACCATTTTCTCAAAACCCTAATCCGATCATGCCCAGCAGCGCTGGTACTTTCGGACCTCAATCGGCCTGTTTAAATTTTGCTGATAAGTTGCAGAATGGCGACCTCAGCTTCGATTTTTCCAACAAGGGTTCTGATTCTTTGGGTCATTCTAAGCCCACTAGAATCAGGCATCCAGTGAAGAAAATGAGCCGTAAAATGAGAGGCCAAGAGGATAAAGATGCTTCAAATGCGGTACACACTTCTTTGGATTTGAATTTGGGTAATAAATCTTGTGGTATTGCTAATAGTACTAGTGATGATCGAAGTAGTAGAAATTTGGGGAAGGAAGCTTCTGGCGGTGGTGGCGTCGATCATGTTCAAAGTGGTAATCTTGGAAAATTGGGTTCTGTTTTTGGTGCGGATGGCAGTGGTTTAGGGTCTAATTTCAAGAACAATAATGAATGTTTTGCATCAAGAGCTAATAACACTAGCCAATCTTCAAGTTCTAATGGTTGGAGTGGAAGTTTTGTGTCTGCCACTGGGAATGATTATTCGGGGTTGCCCTCTGATAATGGTGGCATTGCTTTTGGAAATAATAGGAGTAATTTGATGTCGAATTCGGCCAGTGAAAACCATAGTTATGTTTTTTTAGGCGATAAAATTAGCTCAGGAGCAAATGTAAGTTCTGTATTTGATGAGGGAAAAGGGGCTTCTTTATTTGGTTCCACTAAACGTGATCCGGGATTGAAGTCAAATCTGGAAAATGGAGATTTTGTCTGGGGAGCTAGTGAGAATTATCCAAGTGAAGCATCGAACATGAATTGTGCAAAGTCTGAACCTATTGTGGGGGACTGTGGAGCTCGTGAGTCAACCATGTTTGATAGGCAGGGTTTTGTGTTTGGGGGGAGGAACGGTATGTTGGCTTCTGATACTATGACAGGACAGGAAAGCTCCGGCAACAATTGTTCTGTTCAACCAGGTAATATCAATTTGGTTTTTGCTTCTGGCAGTTGTAAGACTAATGTAGATGATAGGGACTTTCTTAAGAGGGATGATCGATCCGGCTCCACTACCAGCCTTGGCAGTGAGCAGAATCTTGGTGGAAAAGAAAATCATTTTGGATTCTCTTTTGGTGCAGCGATGGATGACTCTGTATCACACCTAGGTATGAGTAGAAATAGAAGAGTTAAAGGTAAATTGAAATTCGTGTCACGGGGTGAGAAAGTGAACGCAGCGAGGAGTAATTTTCAAAAAGCTGGCTTAAATGATTTTGTGAACAGCACTGCAGAGAAGCCTAATTCAACTCACAGTAGTGAACTTAGGAATGGCCAAAGCAAGTTGGATGCTCAAAAATCTGAATTTGGAAGTGCCTCTGTGAGGGGGTCTTCTGATGGAATGAAGTTTGTATTTGGAAGCAGTTCCAATCCTGGTAGTGCCTTTTACAAGGTTCCTTTGTCTAAATTGTTTGATGATATGAAGAATTTGAACATAGACAATTCCAAACGCAATAATCTTACTGATAAAGCCAAAGTTGTTGGAACTAACTCCTTGTTTGGTTCTGATAGCAAGAGTGGTGAAAAGGCTTCTGGTACAGTTTTTGGAAAAGAGAATCAGACATTGAATTCAACTGAAAGGATTTCAAGTTGCGATGTTCTGAATGAAAAACAGCCAAGTCATGGTAACTATTTGAATAAAACATCACAGGGATCTGGATTCTCATCTTTTGCCTCCTCTCATGTTCAGCAAAAGGGAGTTGGTTCTGATTCTTCTCCTGCCATTGAAGTGGAGAATAAGGGAGATTTTTGTTTTTCTTCCACACCAGCAGATGCATGCTCCAGAAATGTCAAATTTGAATCGTCTTCTTTCACCCCAAATCTGTTTCCTGGATTCAGTGTTAATTTAGAATTTAGCTCAAACAATAGATACACGAGGGACAAAAGGTTGAAGAAGGCAAGAGGAAAGTTGAGGCAAAGAGTCCAAGCCAAAAATTTGAATGAGCAGGATCAGAAGTCCAAAGAAGGCTGTTCCCCTAAACCTTTTGAATCTCCAGGATGTTATTCACCCATGGATTTTTCACCTTGTCAGGATGCCACTAACGATGTACCAAGTGTTCCAAGCACTTCTACTCCTGCAGGGTGTAAAGGGAAAAGTCCTTTAGCGGGAAGACCTGGAGAACAAGTTCCTATCAATTCTAAGAGTCAACATGAAAACGAGTCAAAGTCCTCTGACCAAAATGGTATATCTGCAATACGCCAGCAGTACAGGAGAAAATATAAGTTGAAAGTTGGTAATGGTGCGAGTGGAAAAACTTCAGTTCAGAATTCTGATTTTTTATTTCACCCGGCTCAGTCCTCTTCAAATTCTCCAAACACATTTCGGATTGGCCAAGTACAGAGTGGATTCATTTCAAATTCAAAAAGTAAAGCTGAGGAACAATATTCCAACCGGCATTCGTGTGAGGATGGCATGAATGGAGAATGTGATCAATGGCGAATAAGGTGCTCATTGAATGTCCTTTCAATTACTCGGGAAATGATCTTTCTGTTACTGTTAACTTCAATAACTTCATCTGTAAGATTGTGAATGTTTATATTTCAATAACTTCATCTGTAAGATTGTGAATGTTTTATTGATATGCCAGGGGAAATGAAGCTTACAAGATTAGAGATCTGACCAAAGCTGAGGACTGTTATACCAACGGTATAAATTCTGTGAAAGGAAATGTGTCAGTATTTTACTCAAAACCCCTTCTGTTGTGCTATGCAAATAGAGCTGCTACACGAATGTCGCTTGGAAGGTTGCGTGAAGCCTTAGAAGACTGCCAATTTGCTTGTAGTTTAGATCCTAGCTATCTCAAAGCTAGAATAAGATCTGCAAAGTAAGCACTTGAGAAATTTGCTGTTTTAAATTTGATCCTCTTCTGATTGTCATACGCATAATGCATGGACGTCTAGGTTTTGATGTTACCTGTCTGTACAACATAATATGTTATCCTTGTTACTATGGTAGGTCTATTTTGTACAGTTTATTGGCTGTGGTTATTTGCAAGCTTTTCTTAGTATCATCCTGATTTCTATCCCTCTGACTTTTGTCTTACAGTTGTCATCTGGTGCTGGGTGAATTTGAAGAGGCCATTCTGCACTACAATAGTTGCCTGGGATCTGGAAATACTGTGCACTTAGATAGGAAAATTGTGATTGAAGCTAGTGAAGGCCTACAAAAGGCACAGGTAGATTTTTCTGCCCCGTTATCTTTTTTTTTTTTTCCAATTTGGCCTTTATCCAAACTCATTGTGTACCTTTTGTTTCTGTTCTGTGTTTCCATATTCTGCAATTTGATTCACTGTTCTCTCTCTAAGAGCCTGAAAATTGCATGGTCACCTGAGCATCTAAATCTGCTGAGTTGTGATTTTACTCGTTTTCTGTTTGCAGTTTTAACTACTAATCTGTTAACTTTGTTGTTGCTGCAGAAAGCTGCTGACTATCTGTGTCAGTCTTCTAGTCTCTTGCAACTAACAACTTCAGACTCAGCTAGCTGTGCTTTGGAAAAAATTGCTAATGGGTTATTGATAAGCTGTTATTCTGAAAGATTTCTTCAAATGAAAGGAGAGGCTTTATTCCTGGTTTGTGCTATCCTAACATATTTCAACAATCTATTTGGCATCTTATGTTCTTCTGAGTCTTAAACTGTACTAGTTTTTTCTATCAGTTACGGAGGTATGACGAGGTGATAGAACTGTGTGAACAAACTCTTCATATTGCTGAAAAGAACTTTAATGCTGCTCAACTAGCAAGTGAGAGTGATCTTCAGTGCAAAAACTCAGTAAAGTGCTGGAGGTGGTATTTGATGTCGAAGTGCCAATTTCATTTGGGAAGGCTTGAAGTGGCTCTTGATTTGATTGAAAGACAACAAAACTGTGCATCTGTCAGTGAGTGGTGAGTCTTGGTCTTTATTGCCATACCCCATGTGATTTTATTTTTTTGATTTTTCATATGCTGATTTGAAGATATTGGTTTAGGTCCTCAAGTATGCACCGGGACTCCTTGGCTCCTTTAGCTGCCACTATCCATGACCTTCTAGAGAAGAAGGTATGCTACTCTTAGCTCTTTCTTTACCCTGTTTCAACATGTATGAATTTATTTTTCTCCTAGGAATCTGTAAAAATGTTCAGTCTTCTTTTTCCCGGGTTTATTAAATGTTCGTTCTATTACTTCTCGATCACCTGCAGAGTTTCATTCTGGTACAAGGCTGAACATGTACCAGCTAAATTAGTACATTATTTACTTTTAAGTTGCTATTGCGTTGCTTGCACAGCACATCACATGTGTTAAGATTGCTGGAAAAACCTGAGTGTCACTCCATTATGTCTCAGGCACTGGCCCGAACCACCCAACCCCCTCACATCTCTTCCCAACCACCTTCTTAACTTTCCTTACTTCCTTACTGGTGTATTCATAATGCAAAATGATGTGGCTGCTGGTGATCGTTAGAGATTGGATTATAAATTGGTAATTTGTTTAAGTTGCGGCTTACTATGATGTTCTCTCAGAGATGTCAGCAGAATAGATGTGTCGCTGTTTTGTTTCTAAATTAGAGTGAAGTTACTTTTCTTGCCCCCATTCTTCGGCACATTACCTTACCATACTTTTTAGACATTGGCTGCTTTTGTTTATGACTTGGAATCTATATCTAAAATTGGGTGTTGCTCGATTGTATGTGGTGGTTAGTCATTGCCTGCTTTTGTTTATGAATTGAAATCTTTATTTTGGGTGTTGCTTGATTCTATGTAATTTACCCATATTTACTCAATGCATACAATCGGCTTGACTAGCCAAGCAGACAAACGACCCTGCAGCCAACGAATGTCATATTGTAGTTATAACTACTCTTCTTTAGGGCAAGTAATAGCAATGAATATTCACCATGGCGTGTTCGTCCAATTGATATGTCCTCCTTCTGGACAACAGATTCAAAGAAATACAAAATAATTGAACCAGTGACTATTCACGAACACACCCTTCTTATCGTTATAGAAATAAATACTTTCTGTTTTTCTTTTGAGGGCGCTCCTTGATATTTTAGAAAACATCATATCTGATATACTTCAAAAAATTTTGTCTATCTTCTCTTAACTACAGAAAGCAGGAAATGAAGCATTTCAATCTGGGAAGCATTCGGAGGCGGTAGAGCTCTACACAGCTGCTATATCTCGCTCTCTTGATTCACGTCCATTTGCAGCTGTCTGTTTCTGCAACCGTGCTGCTGCCCACCAAGCACTCGGCCTAGTTGCTGATGCCATTGCTGATTGTAGCGTAGCAATTGCTCTTGACGAGGATTATCTGAAGGTTGGCCCTCGTAATTTATTTTGTCTCATTATAATGTTGATGCGTAGCACGATGACGACACATGATCCATGTAGCCGATCCCACAGAGTGGGAAAAGGGCTTCTTCTTGTTGTATTGTAATATGCATACTGAAACTCCAACTAGTCTTGTTTCTGTTAGCTTTCTTCTGGGTCTTTTTTTCCACTTCCTCTCTCTTTCTTTTCCCCCTTCTCCTTCCTTTTGGCATTTTAAGGTCTGCCGTGTTAAGTAAATGCAGAGTTGAAACTGGTTACTGATTGTTGGGAAGCAATATATTTGGTCATAATTGTCTATTAGCCTCTTTCTCTCAAATAATTGGTCTATAAAAATGATTTTGGACACTCAATTTCTTATCAGGATTGCAGTATCCTTCTCTTTCTCCTCTCCAAGCTCATGGTTTTAGAACAAGATGATTTTTGTTTTAAAACTATCAATGGCTGTGATGTCTGTTCGTGCTCAGGGTTTTATTGTACATTATCTGCTGCCGTTCTAGAATTTTTTGGGATAACATTTAGTCAAAGGTTACTTCCGGGGTTCAATTTAGAGTCCTTTCTTGTGACTTCTTTTTTGTCCTTTTTACTCCTTACTTAATCTGCTCTTCTTTTGCAGGCAATATCTAGGAGAGCTACTTTGCATGAACTGATTAGAGACTACAAACAAGCAATTAGTGATCTTCAGAGACTTGTATCTCTGTTGGAGAATCAGTCACAAAAAAAATCTCAACAATCTGGCAAACTGGAGGGATCAAGTGGAAGTGATGCTAAGGAATTGAAACAAGCTCGACGTCGTCTTTCCCTGATGGAGGAGAAGGCAAAGGAGGGAACTCTGATGGATCTTTACCTCATACTGTGAGTAGTTCCTTCTCCACTCCCCCAATTTACCTATCAGAACCACTGGGTTCGTTATGTTTGGTTGATGATAGAAGCAAGTTCCTATCTTCTGGATGTATCACATTTTTTCACAAATGGATCTTTTTCTTCGGTTGTGTCTGCCTTTAGCCGGATTATACTGAAGTGAACTGAATGTATTTTGCTCAAAACTATTTTAATTTCATATAAAAAGGTTCATGAAGCATAAAGTGCAAACGTAGATTGATTATGATTATGCTACTAAGGTTAACGAAGCATAAAGTACAAATACAGAAGCTGAGAGTTTGTTCCTATGCCCTCCCGTTACTTTTTTCAATTTTTTAGTTTATATTTTTTTTTCTTAGTTGCAATTCAAACTTAAGATTTTGTCGGCAGGGGACTAAAACCATCCGATTCAGAGGCTGAAATAAAGAAGGCATACCGAAAGGCAGCTCTCAAGCATCATCCGGACAAGGTAATTAAGCCACTATCATATGTATCCGAGGGCATCTGTTTTGGAATTATTTTAACTTGTGGCATCTGACCTAATGTAGGCTGGCCAGTACTTGGCAAGGACGGATGGTGGAGATGATGGGAGATTATGGAAAGACATTGTTGAAAAGGTGCATGAAGATGCTGACAGGTTGTTTAAAATGATTGGCGAGGCATACGCTATCCTTTCTGATGCAGACAAGGTAATGAGCCTGCTTATATGTTTCTTAGATTGTTCTGATCTCTACTACATTTCTCTTTTCTGATTAGAATATCCTTTATTATCAACTGATGGAATATATTCAGATCACCTTGATATGGACTCGTTGAATCATTTTATCACCTTTATTATCAAACTTGATATGTGACCGTCAATATCTTTAATCACCTCAAAACTAGTTCTTTGTGAATTAAGTACGCAACATGGTCAATGTCAGAATTCTACTCTTGAATGTAGGTTTTATTATGCGGTAGCAACTTGTAGGGTAACAAAATCAAGGAACGAATGAAATTAGGGTTATGGTAATCTTTGTTGACCTATAGCTCTTTTGCTTGAATATGCTTATGATCTGGGAAGGCTATTGAAGCACATTCTCCAATCCGAAAGAAAATCCTGTTTCAAGGACTTTGTTCTCTACATGAGAAGAGGATCCAACTCCTGTATTTTATGTAATATTTTCTTCAGTGTGTGTTTGCAGTGTAGGTATGTGGTTCACAAATCAGACGGGTAAAATAAAAAAATTAAAAACATAGCTCATGTGTAGTACCTTACATAAACTAAGAAGTTATTTGTCAAAAACATTACTTGTTTGGATAGAGGTAGTAACTGCTCATTTTTTAGTCCAATCTCATAATTTATGGTTGTCTCATTTATTGTTCATGTTGCGGGAAATCTTATTAGTTTAGATCAATGCTTCAGCTGTCTTTTGTCTGCTCTAGGATTTCCTGACAAATTCCTTTGAAATGAAACACATTCCTTTATGGTGTAATCTTCTTCCCTACCTAGAAATCGAATTTGCCTGATGATTATTATCTCAGTAAAACCAAACTTTTTTTCTTGTAACCGTTTGTTCCATCTGGCCCTTGGGATAGGCACAAAATCTTCTAAGCTGAGGTTTATTGTTCGCCTGTTAAATTACTCTTTGTTTGCTTGATGCAGCGTTCAAAGTACAACTTGGAAGAGGAAATTAGGAATGGTTTCAGAGATAGCAAGAGGAACCCTGATTCTGGAAGATCATCAAATTATTACAGTTCTCCATACGAGAGGCATAATTGGTCTGGTAGAGAAACAAACTATTCGAGTTCAACATCAGAAAGAAGCAGAAGCAGGCGAAATTGGCAAGAATGGAGATCATATGCGGACTCACACAGTCGATGGTGAGATTTAGAATTGAGATTCATCAGAGTCGGATGACTACTGGGAAACCAGTGTAAGCAAAAATGTGAATTATACACAACTTTCCCAGGATAACTCACAAATATTTGAACGGCTTTTGCCAGTATTGTAGACCTCTGTCCCATTTCAAGCCCAACCCAAAAATATTGTCCATCCATCTCCAAATGCGAAACTGTATATAATTTCTTTTCTTTTTTACTTTTTATCATTATTGTTTTGCCTTTGACATAGGGAATCGATTAAAGTTTATCATCTTTTCAAATATTTATTTGTGTATTGTTCACCGGACCTTTTACATTTATTTGATCAACAACGTGACATTTTAGCAAATACATTATTATAGCCTCGAAAATGTACTATCTAGATCGAATGAAAATTAGTAGTTTAATAAAACAATACTCATACACATTGTATTATAGTTTAAAAAAAAAAACACGTACAATACAGGTAATAAGAGAATTTTTCACTTTTCTTTTTTGCTTTATGTTACTTGATCATAAAAAATTCAAAGATACCGACGTGTTTCTTGCCTGGTTTGCGGTTTGGTTTGGCAAAAACTGCCATGTCTTAAATATTGTCATCACTGTTAATAAAAAGGTTTTTTTTTTTTTTTTTTTAAAGAAAAAGTAAAAAAGAGAAGGAGTAGAGAGGATGATGTCGCCCCCAGGAATTGCTGTTTGTTTAATTATGGATGGATGGGTGGTTTTTAGTCCAAACATCGGACTGATACTAGTATTTTCCAAATCGAAACCGACTCTTCTAACCAGATTAATAAACCTAGGAAACAAAATGACACTCTCACGCGCTGTGTTTTCCTGGCAGGGAGCATCGTTCTTGCTTTCATCGTCTAAATCTTAGTCACTCCTCCGGTCCTTAATATAAGACATTTTGATTTGTATTAGGTTTAACTTAATACGTATTTTTAATTGACTAAAAAACTTTAAAAATATTTCATAACAATAAAAAAATACAACGTGAAAATATATTTTTAAGATTTTTTTGTCAATTAAAAATACGTATTAGGTGAAACCTAGGACAAAATTAAAATAGTTTATATTAAGTACCGGAGGAAGTATTTCATAACCTTAAATGGATAAACCCATAAAAAAGGTCAAATATGTATAGTTATAATTCATTTCCTGTAAAATTTTTGTGCATGAATCATTATCTCTAAAATAAAACTCGTTCAATTATAAATCGATCTTCATAAATACTTTTCCATTATTGTGGTGATATTAATGAAAATATTGGAGAGGAAACACGAAAGTAATAAGTTTCACAATACTTGACCTACATCACTTTCTATAATGATTAATTTACCATTTTGTTAGGACGTTACTATTAATTCTGGTGGTAACTAGGTTAGTTGCCATATGTAATACTCCCTCCGATCCTAAATATAAGGCAATCTTATTCCGTTCTAGGTTTAATTTAGTACTTATTTTAATTGACAAAAAATTTTTAAAAACATTATAACAATTAAGAAAATATAACGAATGTGAAAATATATTATTACAGTTTTCTTGTCAATAAAAAATGTGTATTAGGTGAAATCTATGACGAAATCAAAATACCTTATATTATGGACCGGAAGTAGTATGTAATTTATCACTTTTTCATCATAGGTTATTTGTTGGGATGTAATAATAATAAATTATTGTAAAGATAAGCAACAAACTATTAAAAGTGTGATACAAATATATATTATGTTAATATCAAACGATTACTTATAAAGTTTTACTGATTTATAAGCACTTTTCATGTTTTACTTCATTCCCATTTGTAAATCCATGACTCTATCAACTTTTTTTTTTTTTTTCCTGTTCTTTTTATTTTAAAATTTTTCTTGTCAACTCGTAGTTATAAGTCTTTGAACCAGTCGTCCAAATCTACGCTTTGTCTGTGAGGGGGTAAATTAGATTGTAGATATATGAAACCCTGAGCACTAGCAAATTAAATGACAATTCCAACTAGTATGTTATTGTTTAGTTTGATTTTTCTTATAAATTGCACTTTTTCCATCTCAAAATAATACTAATTTTTAATTTTTAATTTATAACCCTTATTATGGTAAAAACTAAGTTTTGTCCAAAATTCCAAATGTCACATTATTCTTTAAAGTCTCCCAACTCAAAATTAAAAAAAAAACCCCAAAAAAAAGGACAAAAAGACATCACTATTTAGTTTCCCAAAAATAAAAATTCCAGAAAAGAACTAAACAAAGAAAAAAAAAAGATATAAACCAAAACAAAGGAGAAAGACATAATACCCTTTGAAAATGTCACACAAAGATCTTTTATTGTTACATTTTAAAATTTTTTGTGAATATTAGTGATACGAAATTATAAATCAACACTTCGAATTTGTTATGTATTGTAACTTGGTTGAGATTGGCGAATTAAAATTATAATTTGAAATTGGTTTAAAGAAACAAAAAAATAGTTTTTAAATATCCGTGCGAAAGCACGGTCCATAAGAGCATCTCCAACGCGTCCGCTAAATCGAGCGGACGCGTTGGATTTGGAGGAGTTGGGTGCTCCAACGGACTCCGCCCCGCTCCGCTATCCCCGCCAAAGAGCTTCGCTCTCGGCTATGGCTGAAGGAGTTCTGTTCATCCGCTCCTTCATCCGGTGGCCCTAATCTCCTTTATTTCTAATTTTTTAATTAAATTTTTTGGGTCAAATTAGAGTTTTTGTTGGGCTTTTGATATTTCTGGGCCAATTTAATTCACCTTAGGCGTCTATATTTGCAACTTTTAGTAATTCCATAAGCTTTGGGTCATCTTGAGCCTTGTATTTTATTTGGTAATATGAGTTAATTATTGTAATTCACTACAATATATTATTACTTAATTCTTAAATAGCATAACAGAAAATATAAATAAATAAAATATATTTAATACGAATTAATATTTTAACATTACCAATTTGTTTAACATGATTAATATTTGATACACATTTTTAGGTATAATTAATTGGATCATATATTGAAAATTTAATTTAAATAATTAATAATAATTTAATTTATTGATTATATTTCTAAATGTATACTTTTCTCTAATGAGAACATTAAAATGCATTTTACAAACACTATTAATAATAAAATAAAATTACTAATATAAGAATATAGAAAGATATTTGTTTAGAGGAAATTATAAAGGGAATGGGTTGGAGATGCTAACATTGTTAAAACTGTAAAAGTAGTGGGTTTTCACTGTAGTCACTTTAAATATAGAGTTTTGAGGGATGTTGGGTTGGAGATGCCATAACCTATTAATAACAATAAGAGTTCACGTCTCCTTTGTAATAATTTATACTCCTTCCGTCCTAAAATTGTTGTCCATTTTGAAATTTCACTTTTAGTATAATTTGAATTAGAAATTAAAATTCAAACTGGACAATAATTATGGGACGGAGGGAGTACTAATTAACCTAAATGAAATGTTTCGTTCCCCGAAAAAAAAAGCCATGATTGAATCTCATGTATCCCGTCAAATAATGGTGTAATTTTTCTTTTTCCCATAAGTTGGGTTTCTATCACGACTGTTTTTTTCATGATGTTGCACTTGTTGGTCAAACTAGGTTATCTGGATTCTGGTATATCCGTATATGAATTAATGAACTGACAGCCTAGCTTCTCCAAGGGCCACAAATGACACATGATCTTATTATATAATCCTTGTGCCAAAACGTCGCGAACAAAATCGTGTATAACAATTACTAAAATTTTGAAATTTATATTAAAATAAGTATAAATATCAAAATTCAATATGATTTTTTTTTGTAACGAATGAAATACATGTTAAATAAACTTTTGAAATAAATTACTACTCCCTCCGTCCGATAATTATTGTCCACTTTACCTAAAAAATTTTGTCCCAAAATTATTGTCCAATTTGACTTTTTATGGATCAAGTTACACATTTGTCCTTAGTAAAAAACATTATCCATAAAATCTTAGTGGTTAAACAATTACTTATGTAGGGATATATCCGGTTGTTTAAGGTAAAATATAGTTAAGTTTGACCAAGAATAAAATCTTTCATTTTAGTAAAACTGGACAATAATTATGGGACGGAGGGAGTACATCAATTCAAAGTTCACGTATTCTTGTACTCCCACGGGTCTTAATTATAACTCATAAATTTGAACTAAATTTATGTTAATTTATAATTGTGACGTAACTTGCCGACAAAGAAAGCAACCTAGTCAATCCTAAGTCAAACGGCCTAGGGAAATTAATCCTATCTTATACTTTTTCTGTCCAATAAAAATAATATATAACTAATAAATATTATAATGTGATAATTTGTAAATTGTAATGTAAATTATTTATTTTGAGGCAGAACGGATATTATAATTATTATCCTTAATATCTTTAAAATCTGAACATTAAATTTTATCCTTATTAATTGAAGTTTCTAATTTATTGAATTTCTTAAATTTATCTTCTTTTTTTTTTTTTGGAAAGATATATGTATATTAGTTAAGAAGAAAGCAACTAAACTATTACAACACATTCTATGGAATGTTAAATCATGTAATTCTATGACATCTTGCCTACTCAGTTTAATCAATGAGCAAAACTGAAATGTGGAAATAGTACTAATTAACAAAGAAATCACCTCCTCAACCTCAAAAGGTATAAAAGTAGACCGTAAATCTCCAGTCAAAACTTTACAGTCCGTGTAAATATGAAGTCGAGTGATCCCCAAATGCAATGCTTCCTTCAAAGCCAAAAGACAAGTCATTGCCTCGTCTTTAAAAGGAGAGAGTACACTTAGATCCACGCCTTTGATTTGCATTACCATACCGTGAAATGATAGTATCTTCCAAGCACCAGCCGTATTGCGAGATTTATGGCTAAATGATCCAAAAAAAATAACTAAGAAATCTGTTGGACCCTTAGGCGGTTGTGACGGTTGTATATTGGTGGAGGACCTCCCCCATCCTCCGATGTAAATCGAACTTAGGATAATAGGCGAACAAATTCTTGGTTGCACAATTTTCTTAGTGATAATATTATTGCACAATCTTCTTCTTTTAAAATATAACCAGTATTTACCGACGCATTATTATATGGGTTGTAATGATTTTTAATTTGGTTGTACACAAATTCTAATTATTAAAAATCAAAAAATTATTTATCCATTCTCGTTATTTTTTGAAAATATTTAAAATATATTTTTCATTTTCTTATACATATTTATTTTGAAAAAAAATTAAACCAGACAAAATAAGTTCACACTTCACAAAATAATTTCAAATGTTGTTAAATCTGAATTAGAGCCCTCAACCTATACAAAATATTGCAATTAAACAAAATTCAAACCATCATGTGTTACAAACTACAACTAAGAAATAGTAAAAAATCAGTAAACTAAATTACATTTATAATTAGCCATGCATCCAAAAAAATAACACAAGGTGCCCTATATCATTTAAAAAAGGGTGATAATTCTTCCAAAATAATGTTTAGCATCCAAAACAGATTTAAAATAAAAAGACACAATTATGCCCCAATCTTAAATTAATATATCAATACATCATAATCTTTTCACCTCTTCCAAAACCCTCCTCGAATCCACAACCCTCTTCCACCCCGATCGAATTTCTTCATGCGTGACAATGATCGATGAAGGACTTAAACTGTTTTGGATTTCCTTGTTTGTTTCTGATTTAAGTTTTTTAGTAGTTCCAAATTTAAATAAGAGGATTCATGTTTTAAGAACCTAGTAAAAAAATTTAGAGAGGTGTAAATCGAATTTTATTCTTCGTCCAATAAAACCACAAAATCAATCCAATTAAATTTGAATTATGCCCGAAGAGAGGGGGATAGAGAAATTCAATGCCAATTTTGGAAAAGAAAAGAAAACTATAATTCTTTTTTTTCCCTATACTAAAAGTTTCTTAGCACAAAGAAATTATCTGATTTTGTAAAGCTGAAATTGTTGGCCTCGATAGAAATGAAATCAACAGGAAAGAGCTTCAAAGAGAAGGAAAAAAAAAATTGTGAAGTTATTCTATATTACTTGCGGGAAATAAAAATCATGAAATTTATTGGATATTCGCATGCCGAGAACGAGGACATGTTTTTTCAGCAGTGGCCGACGGCTGTGGTTTTATTGAACGTTGGCAAAGAGGGAAAGATATATATGATAAGAATATATAGTCTTTCGATGAAGGGTAATTTTATCTTTTTATTATAAATTTGTTTTGAATGTTAGAAGTCGTTTTGACAGAATTGCATGCCTTTAAAAAAAAATCCATTGCAACAATCTGCATTATCACCATCAAACCGTATATCCTGCACCACCATTTGTAAACGATCTATATAACCACCATCAATATTTTAAAAAATAAAACAAGATCTTATGTAACTAATCTTATCTTTTATTTCACTTGATGAATCTATTTAATTAGAATTTTTTTAGGTTTTAAGTAATTTGTTAATACAAAAGAGTTATAATTAATTTTTTACTATACATTTTGACTAAACTTCTCATTGCGAGCTGACGAAGGAGAAAATTGCACCGACGTCTCCAGTTGACTGTATTGGCAGCCAACCATGGTTTAATGAAAATAAAACCCTAACTTGCAAGAAAGAGCCTGTAAACTCTCTGATGTTTGAGTCAGTAATAATCAATAATAATAGAGATATAAAGTTGGAGTGCACGGATCGTGGTTTGATTCCTATTTATAGTGCTAAGGATACCTATTTGTAAAATTCTTTCTTGATAAGAAGGTAATGACGGAACCATCCTAGAAGTTCCAGGATGTCAGTTGGACCACCTCTCAAACTTAGACATGCCTTTGGTCGCAAGCCATATACACAGAAACTATTTTGTACTACTCCCTCCATTTCAAAATATAAGTCACTTTAGACTTTGCGCGTTAACTAACGAGACAATCATTTTACAATTAATTTATGCGTTAAATATCTGTTCTGCCCCTCATTAATTGTAATGAAATTAAAAAGAAAACTAAATGAAAAATAGTTGTCATCATTTATTGATGGCAAACTTGAAAATTCAATAATTCCTAAAACGACTATTATTTTGAAATATTTCTCTAAATCTAAAACGACTTATATTGTGAAATAAAGGGAGTAGTATATAGATTATATTGATATATACTTCTCCTAATTCTCTTTTTGCCACCTAGACCCCTAATGTAAACGTGTTTGTAGAGTTTAAACTTTTCATATTTCATATACTTTCTTTGTCCTCGTAGAAATTAAAATATTTCTTGAACGTGTGTAATTCTACAAACAAAAATATATATTCCGATTTGGATGAAGGTTTATTAATATGAGCAGATGTATTCAAACACATTGATGGCTTTGTGCAAATTCCAGGATGGATGAATGTTTGTCATTTGGCCTTTTGGGGGCCAGGTGAAAATAATAGTGATACATATGCAAAATGACAAATCTGAGCTATAAATTAAATTAACTGCAGAAAGAATGAAAAACGTATCCCTTATTTAATTGCACAATAATTAGATTACTTGAATACAACTAAAAAGTAACTCATTAACTAAAATGATTATCAGCATTGATAATGAGCTTATCTACTGAGTAAAGAAAGAGATTTTTTGATAATTTAAAACAAATAATCACTCACCTGATTTATTTAAGCTAAATTTTGTATTGAAAGAGTAAAAAATTGATACCAGATTGTGACAGATTATTTTCCTCTTTTGAAAGCAAAAACATAAATTAAAATAATAGGTACATTTTAGTCTCATTGATTGGGTAGTATAATAAAATAGTATGAGCCCCTAAAAATTATTAACTGAATCATTTAGTTAATGGATTATCCATAATTACACATTTACACACAACAAAACTGTACAACCAAATGACACAAGACAATTTTTACAGTGACAGAAGTAAGGTCACAGGGTGAAGTCAGCATTTGGTTCATTCAGAAAATGACACTTTTGGCTAATTCTGCATAACACCAAAGTACAAAATAATACATCAGTTACTGTCCACAAATATTTACTCCAACCACACAACTTTTCTAAAAAAGAAAATAAATAAATAAATAGTTATAAGAATATACTTGGAAAAAAAAAATGTTATCCTTTTGGCTTTTGCCGCCATGTCAAGATGTAATCTTATTACGTTTGACGGTTTGACCCCCTCACTTTTGACTCTTTCTAACACACCAACGTTAACACGCGCCACCTAAGCAATTGGGTCACAACAAACCGTCTTACTCAGGACTAAAGTGAAATCTAGGAATAATCGAAGTCTAATTCTTAAAATAACCTAAATTTAAAGGGACTATAAGAGCAAATAGTTTTTGGTGTATTTAATGACAGATTTCTCTCTCTCCCTGTTCCAAAACGTGTCTATTAAACAAGAAAAGCTTTTTCCTTTTTGCTGATCATTTTTCTTTTGTTTGGGCAAAACCCAAGACAGACTGTTTAATTTTATTCAGTCAATTGAAAGATCCTCTGTGTTTTATTTGATTTGGGTTTCTGTTGTCTGACAAGGGGATTTAACGCTTCACTGGGATTTTTTTTTTTGCGTCTTTTGTGTGTGTGTGTGTGTGGAAAGTGAAAACTGTTCCTTGAAGTTTGTGAGAGAAGCCCGTTTGCCGTTTCTTCTTGCTGTCGTGCGTGCATTAATCTGTTGCTTTTTTTGGAGTTTTCTGCCGCTTCTGGTAATCTCATTTTCCCAGAATCTATTCAACCCTTTTTCTTTTTCATTTCTATTTCCTCGTTGATTTCTCCTTTTGGTGTTATTCTTTTCCAGTGTAGTTACATTTCCGTTTTTGGGGTGTTTTTCAGTTGTGATCATGGAGAACAAACGAGCTGGGCAGAAAACTGAGATGAATTTTGGGCAGGAGAGTTCAAGGAGAAGGCTTTCTAATAAAAAGCCGCCTCGTGGTATGTTGTTTACCTTTGAATTTCATGTCAATTTTGAATTGGAGCTTTTTTTTTTTTGAAAAAAAGGAAATTTAAAATTACTTCTTATGTGGATTGGGTTGATCCCTTCTGAATAATTCGTGGTTTGTTTCTGTTGGAAAAAATCGAATTTTTATTTTGTTGATTGTTGTTCTATGGTTACTGTTGAGACTTTTCAGTATGTGGTGTTTAGTCTGGATAGTCTGATGATGATGACGGTGATGATATCTGTAATGCTGATTTTCTAAGTGTTGTTATATGTGTCGTTTTGAGGAAACCCAATGGTCCCCCCCTTTGTATTTCCGCTCTATCATCACTGAATTTAGGTGAAGAAAATTGGGATTTAGGGGATTTGGCGTGTGTGCATGTTTTGTTTGTTTGTGCTTTTAAGGATCTTGCAGTTTTTGTGCTGCTGCGTGTGGTCTAGGTTCATTTGATTGAGATGATTTGGAGTAATTTTTCTATGAAGTCTGCTCCTTTTTCCCTTTTTGGAACTATGGTGTCCTTTGTTTGAAAGATTGGAGGGTGTGGGGCGGTTATGTTCGGGGACAGTCACAGTGACTTGTGTTCTTTGAATGTGGCAGTGGTTGGTGTCATTTACAATGCTTGCATTCATTGAATTTTGCTTTCTGAAGATGTTTTATGAAGAATGTCTCCCCTTCTGAGAGGTAGGTACAGGGCGCCCTTGTATTACAAGTAGAGATGAGCTCATCTCATGTTTTGCTGTATAATTGGATTTCTAGCTTCAGAGAACTGGGAAGTTTATAGGGGAAATATCAGTGTATGCAAAGATAGTTATGTTATCATATACGTTGCCGTGTCCTCTACGTTAGGGATGTCGTCGTGTGTACTGTTCTACGTGTTAGGTCAAATACTTGATAATTACTATTAGTTGTCTGTGCCTTACTATGACAATATCTGTCTTATCATGTTGTGATGTTTATTCTGTTCCAAATTCTCCACCCTTATATATTGTCTATTTGTCTGTTCCATGTTAGGGCGAACGTCAGGGCGCCGACTCTGCTATGTTTTTGGTCACACACTATGATTTCCACTTGTTGTTGTGTCTTACTGCCACGATGTTTGTCGTATTATGCTGCCCTATGTATTCCGTTCCTAATTCTCGCCCCCTGTTTAATGCCCTGCTTTAGATTTGTTTATTTGAATAAATGTCCAGGTTTGCATTAGCTATTAACTTGAACTGATATTTTCCTTTTTCGCCTCTCTCCAGGTAGCAGCTGGCAGCCTACTATACCGTCTTGGGAGAAAAAGTTCTGCAAAGATGTCGGTTCATTTGACTGGGCTACGCTGGTGGACATGAAGAAGTACGTCTATTTATACGAAAATGTGGTCAACTGGGATGACTCTGCTGGCAAGGAGGCATTCCAGAACGCCAAAAAGCGCTTCTTGGCTAACATGCATGGTCATCCTTGTGATATCTCCTTACCCGATCCGGACCTCTTCATCGACGAAGTTGATTGGGACTCAGAGATTAATCCGGAGCTGCTCAATGACCTGGAGGACGGATCTTCAGTTCATGATATGACGGCGGAGACTGAACCTGTTGTGATTTTTGGTGATGGCCTTCTCCAGAACCAAGGTTACTCAGTAAATGGTTGGGGGGACATTGAAGAGGATATGAAAGCTGCTGTGGATTCAAACAATAATCCATGGCTTGGACAGACTGGAGGAGCTGCAAGAGACAAAGGATGGGGAGAGATTAGTTACAATGCTGGTGCGACCAGTATGAATGGAGGAGAAATTGGAGCTGCTGGCTGGCCTAAGTGGCAGAACCAGGGTGGTTCATTCACTGGTTGGGGTAACGCTGAAGAGGATTCCAAAGATGCTTGGAATTCAAATATAACCAATCACTATAATCCTTGGGAACAAACTGCGCAAGAGGATGGGTGGGGGCATGTTGGAGCTGCTGAATGGACTGGCAATTGGGAGAACACCTGGTCGGGAGCTCACCCTGATAATCAAAAGAAGTACAGAAACCGGAGGACTGAGAATCCTAGAGCTAGGGGAACCTGGGATGCGAAGAACACAAAGAGTAATGCCAGTCGCAGACAGATGTCGAGCTACAGGACTTCAAGGGTCCATGGCGATGAGCAAAAAGGTGATTATGCTTGGAAGGGAAGGATGAGCAGCCACAATAAGGCAGCCTGTTTTTGAAATTTTTTTTTGATAGACAGAGCGCCGGAATTTTAGGAACTCATGAAGGCCTCTTAATTTAGAAGACTTTATAGGTCTTAAGATTTACAGTCTGATGTTGCTGTACATTAGAAATTTTTTCCTTTGTTTTTCTTTATTTTTTATTTTTTATTTTTATTTTTAGGACATAATTTGAGGAACATTATTGAATTTAGGAAGGTTGCATGAAAGAGTAGTGAATCCTTGTAGAATTGTTGTATTATTTCTGCCTGCTGGCAGTTTCTGTTGTAAAGTAGGTTGAATAATGAAATATTTAAATCGAATTGTTTTTTCGATACAATTCCCTCTTTTCTTCTAAAAGCTGAAGTTTTTGCTGGCTCTACGGATCAAGGTCCATTATAGATAGGTTAGACTTATTTTGTGTTCCTTCTTATTACTACTACATGAAAACTTTTTTCTTTGGTCCTCAATTTTAGACTGAAAATGAGAAAGAGTATAAAAGGACCCATTTGAGGAATCCACTACTACAAGAAGTACCAAACTAGCTTAAGCAAATCTCATGTCATGCACACTAGGGAGATTTCAGCAAAAGCAAAAAGAGAAGACTTCAAAGCATCACTCTAGTGAGTTTGAGCAGTGGCGAAACCAGCCGGTCGGATTTAGGGGACTAATTACATATTTATGATCGGAAAATATAATCGAATATAAATAGCGGGAGGTCAACTATAACTACTCCTAAAGAGCCCTTTAGCCGAACGGGAGCTCGGTGGAGCCTCTCCGAGCCCCTTAAGAGTTCCGCCGTTGAGTTTGAGAAAAGGCGAGTTCTGATTTGATGGTTAGGGTTTAGCCTAGCTAGCACCAACTAATTAAGTTGTCGAGGATTAATTGCCAAAATTTGCTAACCAATTTATAGGTTATATAAAGTGTTAAATTTAATTAATATTTGTCTTATCACGAACTCAAGAAGTTAAAAAAAATTGAAGTCTACTGTGTAGAAATAGTTATTCCAAGGAGCATAATCAAGCACGGCAGTAGATTATGTTATGACTTGTTTTGAGATACACTAGAGAAACATGCGTGTTATGTTATAAAGGGTTGGGGAAAAAATATGTAGAAAGAAATCTGAGGATGGATCGAATGCTTAAGAAGCAAATAAACTGGTTTGAGACTACCATATTTGTGGAGCAAGTTTTGATCACTGACAAGTGACAACATATTTGCATAGAAACTAAAGAAACCGATGAGTAATTTCACCGAACAAAAAAGAAAAGAAAAGAAACCTGTGAGTAACATAATGGTGCGAGACTTCATTCACACTTCTTAAATTTGAGAATCTTGCATAATTTATTCATTCAAAAGGAATGGAAGGGGGGTGGGTAAGTACCTTTTGAATTTCTATTGCTCTATCGTTCAGATTTCCACAAGAAACGCTGCCATTTCAGGATATTATTCATGTAAAAGTTTTATAATGAAATTTATGATATAAACAGTTCAATAGAGTGAAATGTTATAATGACATAAAATGTTATTACGATCTAATGAGAATCAAATATCATCAAATCCATGTATGAGGAAATTTTTTTAAAAAAACTAAAAAATTAGAAGGATATCTCGTTAGTTAGGCATGCGGTCAAAGGAAGAAACACAACACTATTTAATGTCTCCAATTTTAAATGCAAGGTAAATTCGGAAAAATTTATAACAACAACTAATTAACCATATAAAAAAACAAAAACCATATTAAAAAAAACCTACAACACAACTGCAATGAAAAGATTTACAGTTTTTCTAGAATCGGTATATGCATCCCCCGTTGAACAACAGTGTGGAGAAGATTCTATTTTAAATTAATACTTATGTCCAAAAAAAGTATTCCACATTAGAACAGAAGAAGCACTATTGTTCATTGGACTTTTTTTAAAAAAAATTTAATTCAAAGTATGTACCTTTGAAATGCCACAACTAATCTTCTGTGGATTATAAGTACGCTAATAATAAGAAAGAGCGAAGAAGCATATATATATATATAACTAAAACTCTTCTAAAAATTCATAAGAAAATCGCAACCTTCCATTTGAAAAAGAAAGTAGATTTTGCATTAAATTAATTTGAAATCTGCTATAAAAAGTAAAAAGTGGATATATTTTATAAACTAGAATGCGGATGAAGGTAAGCTAATGCACTATTTCCTTTATTGTTTTCTTTCTTTTCTTTTTTCGGTGTGTGGATTAATGCAGTAAATGCGAAATAACATTTTCAGCGCCAATGCATGAGTAGATGAAATGTGTTTTTCTCTTATCACAATTTCCACATATGTAAGAGAATTCCAAATCACATTTTATGTCTAGCACCAGTGCTTTGTGACCACTCCTAGGAGCATTGTTGTAATAATAGTTTCAACTTCCCAAAAAAAGAAAAAAGCATTGTTACAAATTTCTTTTTTATTTTCGGTGAAATGTTATAAATTTCTCATATTTCAAACTTAAAAAGAATTGCCTAACTACATATGTCCCGAAAAGAGAAAGGAAATACTTCACGTTCTTTTTTCTTAAGAAGATGAAAGGAGAGGTGTACAACCAAGCTTCTTCCTCCCTAGCTATATATAAAACATTAACTCAAGTAATCGACTTTAATAGCCAAATTAATTCATTTACCGGTCATGGTGATTCTGCATGAAGCAGCTTCTTTGTGAATTTTTTTTTTTTTTGATAAAGAGGGCGTCGGTTAAAAACTTACGAGGGTTTCTAATATGTCAGAAAAGTTATTAGGATGGATCGATTATAGTCTTAAAAGAAGTATATTTTTATGTGTGTATATTATGCGAAGATATAATTTGAGGGCAAAATTAAGGAAACATAGTTGAATATAGGAAAGGATGAGAGAGTAATTGTAAATTAGGTTGAACAATGGAATATTGAAGCATTCTTGTTCTCTAATTTACATTGAACTGTTGTTTTAGAACTTTTCCTTTTTTTCGGTTTTAAAAATATGAAGTATTGGCTGCTATGAGGAGTCTGTATATAGTGCACCCAGGTGTACCGTATACCCCCAAACACACACGCTACACGCGCTCAACTATTTTCACCTTTACATTAAATGCACAAATAAAATTATTTTCATCCATTTTATTGTTTTCATCCTCACGCATAAACACATACAAACACATAGTCGACGGGAACTCTCCATTTTAGGCAAATACAAAATTGACCACCACCACAAAATTACACAAAGTCGACGGAAAACCTCCGCCGGAAGACGATTTTGATAACTTCATCTTCTCTCTGCGTTTTTCATTTTGTCAGCCTGTTCTTTCACACACACACACACAGACGATGGCGAGAAACCCTACATCTGGCCATCTCAAGCTCTCCTTCATCTACACATGCTTCACTCGTAAGTATATTACTCCGGGATCCTATTTTTTTTTTATTATCTAGCAATATTTTGTGTTTATCCACTAGATCTGAACTGGTTATCCATGTTTTCCTGCGTGTGCTATGTGATGATTGTCCATGCCATAATTGCTGGTTATCCACCCATTTCATACTGGTTATCCACAAGTTGTAAACTGGTTATCCAGAAGCTGTAAACTGGTTATCCAGAAGGTCTAAACTGGTTATCCACAAGTTGTAAACTGGTTATTCATGCTTTTTTACATTTGATTCTATGTGGTATGGACAAATTGAATTGGTTATCCATGTTTTTGTATTTTTTTGTTACTGATTATCCACTATATCTCAACTGGTTATCCATGTTTTCCTGCGTGTGTGCTATGGGGTGCTTGTCCAAACTTTATTTGTGGTTATCCACCAATTTTATACTGGTTATCCGCAGGGTGTAAACTGGTTATCCATTGTTTTTTTTAGATGTGATTTTATGTGGCTACTTGTCCATACATTATTTGCTGGTAAGCTGGTTATCCGCAGGGTGTAAACTGGTTACTCTTTTTTTGATTACTGCTCCTTTTCATATGCTGCTATTTTGCCCACTGACTTCTTAGTGATTGTCCAATGCCAACAGTGCCCAAAAGAAGCTTAGAACAAAACACAGGTACGGACAGATCAGTGCAAGCCACGATCTTAACCGCAACCCAGACAGATCACCGGATCCTGAACCAGAGGTAATGGAGCTCCCTGACGGAACACTGACGATATTTAAAAAACCAAAATCAACACAAGAAGAACAGTCCCCTGCTCGAAGTCCAAGGCCCCACAACTTGTGGAGGAAACCAAAGAGAAAGAAGAGCACGCCGACAGAAAATTCAAAGCAACTTGTGGTCGTTGATGATAATGACTCCGCTGATGATAAGAAGCCCAAAAAGAAAAGAAGGAAACCTGAGAACAAAATGATGATTGGTCAAGATCCACAGCCAATCAGTTCTGAACATTGTGTCAAGAAATTTGAGAACAGGATGACACCAAACCATCTCTTCCAACTCATCACTAAAATCAATAAACCAACAGATCTTAGAGAAGAGCCAGATGCGGTAGATTATCGCCAACTACAAAGGCAGGCTATCAGAGATATGGGATTTGGCGCCTTGCTGGATCTCAAAATCGAAAATATTCCAACAACATTGTGTACCTTTCTGGCAAACAATTTCCAGACCGGTGCGAGACAAGTCCTATTAAATGGCAACAATGTACTGGATATCAAACAGGAAGATGTTGTTGTTGTACTTGATCTTCCTCGTGGACCCAAACCAGTGGAAGAATTCAAACAGAATGATTTCGCTATAATAGAGCACGCAGAGATGGTGGATGCATTCAAGAAAAGAATGGGATACAGTAATAAATTCCTGCCAACGAGATCCACGGCGGCACAATTAATTGCTAGTCGAAAAGATTATGGTGATGACTTCAAACGAGATATCTTGGTCTTTGTTGTGAGCACATTCCTACATGAAAACACCGCCTCCAGAATCACTATGAACATCCTGAAGTCCCTTGTGAACATGAATGAGGTGACAGAATACAATTGGTGTGAATATGTGATTGAAGCACTGGTCAAAGGATGCAAAAGTCACCACGATGGGAAAGCATTCACCGGACCGATCACCTTTTTTCTGGTACTTACCATATCCGTACAAATTTTACTATATATCCATATTGCTTGCAATGTTTATCCAATTTGGTTGTACTGATATATTTAATACCAACTTTTTTTTTTTTTGGTTAGTTGTGATACCTTGACAGGTGTGAGTATGAGAGAGCACATCCCATGTCATTCCCTGTGATCAAATGTTGGGATCAAAAGATGCTGAACGACAGATTAAGACTTCAGGAAAGGAATTTCACGGATGTCCAGACACTCGAACGTCTCAAGAAACAGTCCTTAGCAGCACGCCGAGAAGAACACCCAGAAGGGGAATCACAGAAGGAGGATACACAAGTCAACCCAACACACAACAAGTCTATGTAGTGTTCTACCATTTTTTTTTTCAGATTACACCTACGTATCCAACCTAGCATCTCCACATTCCACTCACTACATTCACTTTTGCAGGACCTTGCTTCTCTTTATGAAAAGTTCTACCGATTGATTATCACGATGAGCAAAACTGTTTTAGACATACGTGAAAAGGAAATGGAGTTAAAAATTGAACCAAATGAACAAGCAAAGCACACAATCAAGATCCTAACAGATGCAATGGTGTCGATGAGTAGAAAGCTACCTCCGCCTCCAGGGACAACGCAACACCAACAAGAGCGGCAGCAAGACCCACAGCATCCAGAGGACCAACAACATCAATAGGAGCAAGAGCAACGCCAAGAAGTAGACCTCCAGGATGCACAGATTTGTGAATTGTGCGAGATGGCATGGAAGGCCGCTGAAAGCAGGTTTGCAACAAAAATAGAACGGCTGCAACGACAAGTCGCTGACCAACAACAACAACAACACCAACAAACTTGTGACAACAATGTACAAGCTCCAATTGATCTCACAAATTTTCAAGACATTGAAATTGACAAAGCACGGGGACTGGAGCAATTGAGCGAGACAGATGATGAGGATTCTCTTCCAGTACGGAAATTTGTGCCTACTTCAAAAGAAGTGGTTGTTGATGAACAACAAACTCAATCACAAGTTAATGAATATTTTTGTCATACATTTCTTACTGCTTATCAAAAAAATAAAAAAATAAAAACCAATGTCCACCTCGTTTGTACTCGTTATCCAACCGGTTTGTATTAGCTATCTAATTATTTTTACTGATTGTCCAAATGAGTTTGTATTGCTTGTCCAATCATTTTTTTTCTCATGAGAAAAATGCTTGTCCAATTAATATGTTCGTACTGATTGTCCAACCCCGTGCTATTGTTTCTCCATTTTTTTTTTAATGAAAAAAATACTTGTCCGATGTGATTTTACTTGTCATCCAACTAATTTGTACTGCTTATCCAACCCTTTTTTTTCCCTTTAAATGGTTATCCATTGTGTTCCTGCCGATTATCCGGCCTATTTGAACTGATTATCCACTTTGTTTGAACTGGTTATCCAATGTATCCAATATATATGTATGTTCGTACTGTTATCCAACATTCTAACTTTGTAATGCAGCACATGGAACGAATATCTACACAACAAAAAGGAAGAGAAACCAAGAAAAGCAAAAAGCTTCAAAAGCTTGCGAAAGAAGAAGAGGAGAAATGGCAGACAAGAGATCCCATCAAGATTCCACCGGCCAAGACAGAGACACACAAGTGGAAGACAAGGCAAAATCCAATCAAGAATCAACCAAACTGGATTCAGGTGTGACACCCACAACAAACCAAACTGGTGCAACATCCACCTATACCAGAAGGACGAGAAGCACTGGTAACAGGAAAAAGAAAGTAGTCAAAGACCCAACTATCCCACATTTTGGCCTCGGTATCTTCTCCAGTCAGGAAGACAGTTACGAGACAACCCATGAGAAGAACACTGAGGAAGACGATTCAGAAAAACAATTCAATGAGCATACTAAGGATGATGATGTTCTAGTACCAGCTCCAGTTGAAGAAACGAACAATCCCAGTCATTCCATCGAAAATATCATAGGAAGTGTCGATTCGCATAAAGATGTCGATGAGACTATCGAAGCTGAAGAATATCCAGTACCATGTGCACTCAACGAAACAAAAAATCACACTCCTTCCATCAATGAAATCATAAGAAGGGCCAGTGCACCAGTTTCAAAATCATTAAGTGATACCAGAAAATTAGAGATGATTATCGCTGCTGCAAAACAAGTTGAGAAGAACTCAAAGGTGGTTGAAGCAGTCCCTATAAGCATAATTTCACCCGATTGGAATATTGCTTCTACCACGGGTGGTCTACTGATGCTGGAGAAAAATGAGTGTACCATGCCACCGCCTGTAATCTCAAAGGAAGCTGATGAGCTTGATGAAGAGTTAACAAAGACAATAGAAAAGTAAGTTTGATCCACTGTGACTCCCCACTACAAAATAGAAAGACGAATTTACATTTTAACTCTTTTTTGTTTTGTCCTAGGATCCTCAATGAAAAACCTAAGAGGAGAAATCTAGCAAGAATCCACCAGTTGCCTGAACGGTTCAGGTCGCCATTCATGCTCCAGCAGAAGAACAAGAAAAAATTCATATAGTGGACAGAGGAGAAGAAGAAAATGACCCAAGAAGAAGCCTTGTTGATAGACTTCGCTCTCTTACAAAGAGAAGAAGAAATAGTTAAATCAGGGTAAAAGTCACCATCCTTACCCATGGGATAAAAAACTTACCAGTGTTCCAACTATTTGTCTATTTGACTACTTTTCTATGCAGGAAACTCTTGTTTGAATTTGGAAAAATAGTTTGGGCAGACAGGACAACATTCTATTCCATAGGGGAAGGGACATGGATAGAAAACAGCATCATAGATGCTTGGGCTGTTATCCTAAACAAAGAAGAAGCCAAGAGTGACTCCTCAACACGGATATTCTTTGGTGTTTCGTCATTTATAAGTCAACTAAACCCTTATTGTTTATCCTGCCCTGGTAAAATACTTGTCAAATGTCTGCAAGTTGTTTATCCATATGTTTGTACTTATTATCCAATTTGTTACTAATGCTTATCCACCAGAGTTGATCTGGTTATCCAAGCCTTCTTGTTATGCATTTTGCTATGGGATTGTTTTCGTCTCCCTTGTATGTGGTGGGTTGTCCATGATTCATTTGTTGGTTATCCATCTGTTCCGTACTACTTATTCATAAGATCTGAACTGGTTAACCTTTCCTTCTTGTGTGTCATCTAAGGTACTTTTGGTTGACCTTGTATGTGCTTGATTCCGATCATTGTTTTCATTTGTATCATTTTCCAACCATCTCAAACAATAACGCAGGATAAAATCAGTCGCTGCTATGAAGAGGACAGTAACAAAGACGACATGGAGTTTGCATTTTATGAGAGGTTGGCTCTTGAACTGGAAGAACAAGGCCTTACTGTAGCATCCCTGTTAGCAGCAAAAGCTGTAAGCAACATCTTTCACCCCCTTCACTCTTTCTAAAACTAGCTGTTAAAAAATTTTCATATGTTTTTCCCCTTCAATGTGAAATATCATATCTACTTTCCAGTATACTACCAAGACCATTACTTTTTGTACGTGTTGCTGGTTGAAGAAATGAAAGTGCTTGTATTCAACAATCTTCATCCAAAAGATCCGGACTACTACAACCCGACAAAAGATCTACTTGTGAGTGAAAAAAAGATACAAAATGATTGTCATACTTTAAGAATTATCCATTGCATTTTGCCAATCCTTGGATTTTATGGCATCACAGTTTCGGTTCTTCAAAAGCTACATCGCATGTGTGTTTCCAGGCATACAACTGGTCAGTACTCAATACACTTTCACAGAGGTTAAGCTGCCATCGCATAAGGACAAAACACCGAATGGGGAAGATTGTGGAATATATACAATGCATCACATGGAGCGGTATGATGGTGGTGAGTACGAGGATGGTACTACTTTGGATTTCAACATAGGAAACATAAAAGACTACCGGTGGAAATACATTATAAGAATCCTAATGTATCCAGTCAACAAAAATAAGAACAAAATCCTCGAAACAATGCACCAGTTCTATACAAATACTGCTGAAGAAAAACAAAAAGAAATTCCAGATCATGTTGATTTGAGCAGCGAATCTTAATACAATGACAGAAAAACTGAGGATGAGTTAAATGAACTGTCATTATGTTCTCTTGTATAATTGATTGATTGTTGATCCTAAAGTGTTTGATATCCAACAGATGTGTACTGGCCATCCTAGTATATTATTCAATCGTTTGTAATGGTTATCAAGGATCTTTATACTAGTTATCCAACTTGTTTACACCTGATTATCCGAATGTTTTATAGTGATTATCCAGTCAAAAAAATGCTAGGACAGTCGTTAACCTGATTATCTATGAGTTTATACTTGTTATCCAAAACCTCAATACTACTTATCCATATGTAACCAATGCCTGTCCACCATGTGGACATAACAAAACAAGGATTCAGACAGGGCTTCCAAAAAGACATAACAAAAGTCCCCGATTGGTACTGGACCTAAACCTAATCACTGTTGCTAGGTATGTTCCAGGTACCATTGTCGTTGTTTCCATAAGACAATGGTTATCCAGACAATGTATTTTGGTTGTCCAAATATTTCTGTAAATTCCCAAACAACAAAAACTGAGTGTCCCAATTTCTTGGTCTTTCTACTTGTTAAACTGCCTATCCTATGCTGTTATACTGCTTATCCAATATTTTTTTCTGATTATCCAATGTTCTGTATTGATTATCCAGGATTTTTGTACTGGTTATCCAGCCAATGTGCAAAATAAATTATGCATCAAATTAACTCAGATTCCATATATTAACATAGATTAAAATTAACATAAATTAAAACAGCAATAATCCGTCAAACTGCCTCTGAGACTACAAAAGAGGCTATCCATTGGTTTTCTCTTGCTAATCCAAAATTTCGTCGATTATCCATTGGTTTTATAGTGTTTATCCAATGCACTGTAGCATTCTCTTTTCAGTCAAAAATGCATTTAACTACAGTAAAAAAACAACACATTTTTTAAAATGGAATACAATGAATAAATAATCTAATCACCAGTTTCGTAACCCCTCGCCGATTATCACCGCTGGTAGGAGAGTTTGTTAATTAAAGAAGCAAACGACATGTTAATTGGGGGGCTTAGCCCCCCAAGATAAACTAAACGACTCCCGTGGCTACCGGAATCGCAGGTCACCAACCTGCCCATTGCGCCCCTCCCCCCTCCTCCTCCCGAACACGCTAATGTAGCTAAGGTAATTCTTTTTTTGTGTGTGTGTAAGGAGAGTGTGTGTGTATAAGGAGAGTGTGTTATTGCGTTAAGAGGGGATACAAATTACTTGTATAAATCTCCCCGTGATAAACTAAACGAACCGGCTGCGTCGCCCCCCTTCCGAACACGACAAATTTCATAAATAGTATTTAATTGAATGAGGGGCATTTTGCCAAATGATGGAGGACAAAAAATGAATGAGGGGCAGTTTGCTAAATGATGGAAATAAGGTACGTTCAATTGTGTATAACTAATTATCCATATTGTCAATACTGGTTATCCAACTGTGTATAACTAATTATCCATAGTGCCAACACTGGTTATCCACATTGTGAACACTAGTTGTCCATAGTGTGTAGCTGGTTAGTGTGTATAACTGAAAAGCCACACGTTTTGTAATTAAATAGAATTTAAATACTTGTATAAATCCCCCGTGATAAACTAAACGACCCGGCTGCACCGGTGCCGCCGGCTGCGCTGCTTTTCGCGGCTGTGCCGCGTCCATGCCGAACATGGCAAATTTCATAAATAGTATTTAATTGAATGAGGGGCAGTTTGCCAAATGATGGAGAACAAAAAATGAATGAGGGGCAGCTGGATAACCAGTGTAAAAAATACGGACAAGGATACCAAGAAAAATATAAAAGGAAAAAAATAATAGTCCACGTTGTCAACACTGATTATCCAACAGGTTAATAATGGTTATCCAGTCATTTTCTAATGACTTTCAAATTGGCTTGCACTGGTTATCCAAATGGTCTCAACTGCTTATCCTAACATTTGATACTACTTGTGATATTTTAATATAATTTACTTGCCCAATGTGTTAGTACTGATTATCCAAACGGTTTGTAATGCTTATTGAATTTTTACTTTGTTTTTATTCTTTATGAAAAATGCTTGTCCATAGCGTCAACACTGGTTATCCAGCTGTGTTTAACTGGTTATCTATAGTGTGCATACTGGTTATCCACAGTGTCAATACTCGTTATCCATAGTGTGGAGCATGTTACTCTGTATAACTGAAAAGCCACACGTTTTGTAATTAAATAGAATTTAAAAGATTGAAGGAGTAAAAATAAAAAAAGAAAACTGAAAAGGCTGATGTTTGTGCAGAGTACATCATGATCTAATGGGTAGTTACAGAGCCACACGTTTTTACATGGAATGGATTGAATAAGGATCAGTTACATAATTGTCATTAAATGAGTTTTTTGATTATCACAATGACAGTTAATGAATAGAGAGTGAGAAGACATTGATTTGTGTTAAAAGATAGGACTGCATGGATAGTTTATCCGTCAAACTACCTTTGTCAATATCAGAAAAAAAAATTACCTGCAAAGTCTCTATAAAACTCCCTGACATCTCCACATACAGCATTTCTATAAAACTCCCTCATCTGCACATACACCAGAACGCCTGATTTGAGCATCCAAAACATCCAACAGCCAGAATAAAAATGAAAAACGAAAAAATTTCCTCAAATTCCACAACCAAACAAATGTCCCCCAGGCAAGCAAAGCAAGAAAAGAACAACTACCCTGAATATATCCATCACGATATGCTTGATAATATATTCATTAATCTGACATTGGAAAAAATTGGTGAATTCCGCCGTGTCAGCAAATCTTGGGAGCAAATGACGAAATGACAAGAATTTGTTCTTCAAAAACGTGAGATGAGCTACCCTGCAACTGAAACAACATCCTTGTTTTCACTCAAACAAGCCAAGAAAATCACCTGCAATACAAACTAATCGCCACCAACATAAAAGTGCAAATCGATAACCCATGCAACCACATACGATTGCAAGAAGAGATGTCGATCGGTGACGACGGCATCCATAAAATCATGCCTATCACCACAGATTTGGTCTATCTGCAAACCAGGTCTCAAATCAAATTCTTGAACCCAAAGACAACACAACTTGCATCAATTGAATGGCCATATGATGTCCCTCTCAGCAATTGTGAAATAGCATTTGGGTACGTATCATTCTAAAAAACTTACGTTTTCATGGCCCTTATTGCCGATAGAAAAAACATGCAAGGCTGCATTTTTTCTTTTCAAAGTTGTTCGAGTATTCATAGAGGAGAATGGAAAACACTTTGCAATGTATGTCATCGTCTAGTATCTGATGGAACCTGGTTTGATGGATTCGTGTATTGGCGTGTAGACAAACTATCCTCTGAAATAGCAACACCTCAAGAGTATGTTGCTGGTCGTGTTTGAACTACCACACTCAACAATTCCAAAACATAAACTGCCCTCCATCTCCAATCTTCTTTAACCCCACTGATCCTTATCATATGAATCTCCAAGTGAAAATATTGGACTTTCAGGGGACTGTGTGTGTAATAGATGAGTATCACATTACTCAGAATCATCACTGTCAGATGTGGGCATGGGATCCAGATACTTCCACATGGGATTGCATGTTCGAGACCCATGAATTCCCAAATGTTAACACACACGTTCCACACGGATTACAGTTCCGCCATGATTGACTTTATCCAGTGTTTCTAAACCACAAATCATCTCCAACGGGACAGTTCATTGTCAAAGGATACGATAATCGACATTTGCTGTTGTATAGTGTTCCTACCAAGAAAATCACACACTCAAGTATATCGCCGGATCTAGAAACCAGTTTCATCATTACAGTATGTTACTTCTGGGAGACATTAACACACTTTTAGGATTTTTTTTTTAAAAATTTATCTTTCCTTTGTTAACTTATTACTGAAAATAATTGTCCATTGATCTTATACTGGTTATCCCAGGACTTTGTACTAATTATCTACATTATCTATGCTGGTTATCCAATGATATTATTTGTGAAGAAAGCGTGTTTAACGTGTTCATGTCTTTTTTGTAATATCTATATGCATTTAAAGTTGCATATCCGGTACAGGCGAGTTGGATATCTAGTACAGGTGAGTTGGATATCCATCACAAACAAGTTGGATATGCATACAAACCCATTGGATTACAACTACAAAACAAGTTTGATAGGCATACAAACCCAATGGATGGATATCCAGTACAAGCGAGTTGGATATCCAATACAAACGAAATGGATATCCATTACAAACAAGTGGGATATCCATTACAAACAAGTTCAATAGGCATACAAACCAAATGGGTGGATATCCAGTACAAACAAGTTGGATAACCAGTTCAAACTGTTGGATAACCAGCATAAACACAATGGATAATCAATTTAAAATAACCACTTGGTTATCCATCTTGTAAAACTGGATATCCACCTTCATTCTTTCCATCAGAATTTAATAATTTTTAAGCCCGAAAAAAATATTCACTATGGATCTTGTTGAATAGATCTCGACAAGTACAAAACAGTTAGATAAGCAGTACAAACAAAATGGATAACCAGTTCAAACTGGTTGGATAATAATGCAATTTAAAATAAATAATAATTTTTAAATAAAAATCTTTACACCATCAATACTATTCATTTCAACATCAAGTAAAAATACTAATAAAACATCATGTTAAAGAAACACTGCGCTCCAGCCTCCCTGGTAGCTTCCCTTCGGTTGGGAAATGAGAACCCACCAAAATTTTGATTCATGAATGTCATGTTTTGATGAGAAGCATTCACAGCAATAGAAGTGCTTGCGCCTTGAAACTCCTGGCCAGCTCCCTTGGGAATTGGAAATGAGAATTCACCGGAATTTTTGTTGATGAAATGGCATGCTTTGATGAGAAATATTCACAGAAGTGGAAACCCCTGCCCCTAAAAAATCCTGGGCAGTTACACTTGGATTAGTAAATGAGAATCCACCAGAATTTACGTTCAAAG